TGAATGCCGCTATACGGGGATTCTACAGTGGACGATGTTTCGATGTGTTGATGAACTGAGTAGCAGATACTCAGTTAATAAGGGAGAAAGAACGCAGACATAGAGCGTGCTATCTATCAAGCAGTCACTGCCCAGAGATGCCTGTTTGGACACTTCACTAAAGGACCCCAAACTGTACGAATGGATCTGATGAAAAAAGGGTCCCGGAGTCAATCTGCATGAAATTTGAACAACTTTAGAGTACGCTGTCAGGTTTGACGGTGGGAAGCTCTTTCACAGTTGCATTAGGTCTTAAGTTGACGTCGACTTGTCGGGCTTTATCGAAGATGACTGTCACAAAGAAGTCATCAGAAATTTTGCTTGAGGTCACGGGATCTTGACGAATCAATGAGTTGTGTAAGAAAGGCAAGGCCTGAATTCTGGACATGGAGAAGTGGAGGGTATATTGGCCAAGAACTTCGTAGAACTTTCGTACAATGTAAAGGTTAGTCTCTGTTGATAATGCATTAAATGTTAGAAGGTTGTGCATCCCCACACCAATCATGGTACCTTCAACTATTCAGTTTCAGGAGCTGTGAGACGAAAAGAGCATTGTGTGCGTTGGTCCTGAACTTACAATTCGTTCTTTGAAGTTTCATGTGCGCAGATCAGAGAGAGCTGGGTTAGTGACCTGCAGACCAGCACGTACAGCACAGAGACACACAGAGACACACACAGCTAATCTGACAAACGACGTTTTCATTTGCACGCAGGCTACCACTTGAAGCACAACCTTGGCCTGGAGAGAGAGTAGAATATGAGCATCATTGATTGCTTTCCTCTGCTCTGGAAGTAGCCCCAGGATCATAAGCGAAGGCAACCGAAGTATATACTTACCAGCTTCAGTCGTATTATACACTTGGGAGAACGGAGACTGAGAACTAAGCACGTACTTTTGCGACGGATTCTGCTGCAGATATTTTGTAAGACACTGATCTTATGCCCAAGATATGTTCAGCCATGAAGAACGCGCGTATTTCACCTGAACAGGCCAAATGCCACACTCAGGAAATACATTCTCGGTCATCATAAGATCCAACTTTGTGTAAGCTAGAGAACTCGTGAGTGATGAAGACTCTGGTAGGGACCTCGAAGACACATGAGAGTGATTAGAATCTTTTCTCTTCATGTCCCCAGAATAACAGATCGAATCGACTTTTGTGGGTCAATCATTAGCTTCCTTTACACGGAGGGAACCCATTGCGACACCAAATCGATGAATTATTAATGAAAAACTGAGACACAACAACTGATGAGGTAGGTCAGGAGAAAACGTTCCGCACGTCACTCTCATACACACTCTCATCACTAGAATTTTGCCATGGTGCACTGAATATCTACGTATTCGCCGTATAGTGGATTGCGGAAGCAAACACGGACAGCATGGAGATTCTTAGGACTGTCTGGCATGTAAAAGATCGTCACAACCGACATGCCTGCGCCGAGGAAACGATGGCACACAAATCCGAAACGAAAGCTAGCTTGCTTAAATATATTGCACACCAAGACGTTATCCCGGTTCCAAATCACCAGATATAGGCGAAGGGTTGTGCCAGTACCTGGGATATAGATATGTCCTTTGACGACCGACCGGTGAGTGGTCAGACATTTCGCTCGAGATTATATTGCTGGTGCACAAGGACTGGAAGGACGTACTGTTCGGCTGGCTCCAAGGAGCCTATTTATCCGTTTAGAGATTGCTCAAGCTGTATTTAAGGGTGCGTGGGACTTTCTGGGAAGGATCTTGACCATACGAGCCGGGAATGGCACGGGTTTCATCTGAGGAAGAGAGATAGAGAGAGAGAAGCAGCAAGTGGGGAACAGATCTAAGAAGACACGAGACATTGTCACATCCATCTTCTGAGAGCTGCAATGAATTTTTTAATCGAGCTCACACCCTCAGATGCTCAGTGCTGTAGATGTAACAGTCCATCCAGATCCTCGAGCTGGGCAGCAAGCTGGACCGAGCAAGCAACTCGCAGCTGGGGGCCGAAGAGATGCTTATTCTCTCCATGGACTCGGATGTACCTCGCAGCACAGCCACACTCGACCCCATCTAGCGCCAGGTCTAACGGCCGAAGCCAGGTCGTCGCTGGCAAGCCTTGTTGCCCGACCTGCCTGGACCAGCAAGGTTGTGACGGCGACTTTTTTCCTATCCCCGCATCCAAGCAGGGGCCCGGGGCGATGCCCCTGCCCCTGTCCCGTGCTCGTTTCTTCAGCAGATGCGAATTGCTGCACATTTCTTACGATCCTTGTCTTCAGGGGAAGAGAGGGTGGGAGGTCGAGGACTCGACGGCCCGGGCGGGGTTCACAGTCAGGGAGTTCCAGGGGGTGGAGAGGGCACACAGTGAGGTCCCACGTCGTCGAGTCATGAGTGTGGGGCGGCCTGCTCTGGGTCCCGAAAATCTCCCAGAGTGGACTCCGAGTGCCGAATCCAGACTCAGGGCCTCAACAACGAATCATCGATCGTCATGCGTGATCCTCCTCGGAAGGAGCCCGACGGCGGGCGCCAAGAATCAACCGGATTTGGGCCGCCCCGGCGTTCGATCACTTCCCGACCGATCGGACCAAGCATGGTCTAATCAATGGACGAGGGGAGGACGAGGACGAGGACGAGGAGGACCTTGGGAGGGTCAGGGGAAGATAAGACGCGGACGATGGAGAGGTAAAAGTGCATGGCATGCAGACGAAAGCGCTCGCCGGCGCTTCGGAGGTCTCGCTTTAGCAGCAAACGATTCCGACTTTCATCATGACGTCCTTCGTTGCCAAGTTTGCCGATGGCGTGATGCGGTGCAAAGCGAGCTACATGTCACACAAATTGTTCGGTTTCTTATCTGGGACCGATTGCTTGGAATCGGGTCTTCACCGGACCGGCCACACGGAGGGGAGAAGCCACTCGCACGAGACGTGAATCGAGGTCGAATCAACACCCAAAGACGCAGGTCCGCCCCCTCCAGTCTCGTCCCGGGTCCCACTCTCGTCACCCTTACCAATAACCCGGACATTAATAATATCACCTCTTAATGATTGACGAAGAATTTGACTCTCTCAACTATCTTCTATCAACAACGAATTGTCCCAACGAATTGTCCCACGCTTTGGCCAAGAATGTACCGCATCGGACCCTGGAAAGTAGGCGTTGAATCACCGGTGGACATGAGAGATGTCTGGCTCCTCCTCCATCATGGAGACGACGACGAGGCCAAATGGGCAACGACAACTTCGAGCCGGTTCTTGACCCATGTGGGAGTAATAAGTAAGCGGCCTCCGTCGAGGGCTAATCAGGACAGAGGACGTTCCGCGAAGCGGAGACGGCCGAGCAGCCAGAGCTTCGTGGTTGGGAATCCAATTATTCGTCGACTGGATGAGATGGGGAAAACGCTCTTGATTGAAGGGAAGGGAAGGGTGGGTAACTGACGAGCACGTTCTAACTTCCAGCTTCCCGTTGTTCATTCATTCATCTGTGCATCCGTCCACGTCGAGCAGCAGCTGCTGCTGCTGCTGTTGGTGGCGATCGCGGACTTTGGATGTCGGGCGGGTATCGGATGGCTCACCTACGAGATCCTCTGCTCGCAATCATGGGCTTGTGTCTTCACATGCCATGCCACTGAGCAGAATGCGAAAAGATGGTCAGATGGCGGAGCGATGGAGATGTGAGCGCATCTGAAACCATGTTAAAGAAACTGATCTCAGATGTTGGAAAGGGAACAACCACATTCTTTCCATTATTTCCAGATGTTCCACAGTGCGTGCACATGTGGCGGGCAACCAGTCCCGTCCATCCCATCCCAGCCCACAAGATAGTGAATGAATGGGTGAATGAATGAATGACCACTGGCAAAGCAAACTCGGCCAGGCCCGGGGAAAGCTCTGCTCTGCAACCAGCCCTGGCCTGCTGGTTACAGAGCCGCCTCTGCACGGCCCCTCGCAGAAACAGCACTCTTTCAGCAGAGCGCTCTTTAACGATGGGCCAGAGTCTTGCAATCGATGGGCATCGGAAGAAAGAAAATATAAAGAGGGTGATGTGATCAGACCCCGTCGAGTATCTTGACGATCGGATCTCTACGTAATTGCCACTCTACACAACAACACTTCCTCTGTGCATGTGCATGCCCGACCTCGACCACGTTGATTGCCAGCTCGCTAAAGAGAGCTTGCTGCTTGCTTCTTCAGGAAACCCCAGGATTCGGGGGTCAATGCGTAATTATGGTGGCGCAGGTAAAGCTCGAGAGATGTATGCAAATGTCTCTCTCGATCTGTCTCTCTCTCTCTGAGACTCTGTGCCGCAGTTTCAGTGTCCCTCTCAGAGGGCAGTTAGCGAGGTGATGTAAGATGAAGTGACCGGTTTTCCAGTTGGTGAGCTTCTATGGGTAGAGACAGAGAGAGAGTGAGACATCAAAAACCGGCACATTCTTTACGTTTAAATCGTGTCCAACTTAGAGCGACTCCTAGAATCCAGACAATCTGGAGATGCTGGGAAATAGTACTCAAATTTGGTGGTCCAGAGAACCTGAACGCGGCGAGAATTTTACTAGAATTTAACCCCGGCGTGATAGTCTGGCGGCACGTTTGGAAGATTGGAAGCCGCCAGATTAGGAGGTGCCGTCACCCGTCCGTCGGAAGCAAAGACAAGAGCCCGTGCGCGAGCGAGAAGGAGGAGGAAGAGGCCCGCAAGCTCGTCACTCAGCCAGCGGTGGTGGGGCAGGCAGGGGGCGGGGACAGATCGTTGCTCCTTGCTTCGTGAACGTTCTCTTCGTTAGCTCGCCGGTGCACTTTCCAGCTCGTGCGCGCCGTGACTGCCAGGGCTCCGAAGTCTCAGAGCAATAAACAATCGCGAACAGCCTTCCACGTTCGCTAGCCCTCGCAATACTTCGAAGAAGCCAGAGCACAAGCTTTCCTCCTCCCCCACGACTTCAGCTTGACGGCAGTCCACATCCAAAGCTCACCCCCCCAACTCAGTTATGCCTGCGCACTCAGTCGGCGAACCAACCACCCGCTTGGCTGACTACGCTCGGCCCCTGGATCACCGTCGACGTCACCAACTCCCGGGCCCTCATCTGGTTAAGTCCCGCCCGGGCCCTTCCACCCGCGATCGACCGAGCTTCACCGGTGGAGGTGAACCCTGGGAGGTTCACCCTGGCCACCTAATCTTCGAATCGACGACAGGGACCAGGCACCGGGTCCATGCGGGCGAAGCTCCACCGTCGATTCACCATTATGCAGAAGGGTGTTGTGCACCCTTCTGCATAATATTATTATCCACAAAAGTTTAGAGCAGTATTCAAGCACAAGATAATCGAATCATAACATGACTAATTTACAAGGATGGACAATCTTCGTACACGCTAGGAAAAAATAAAAGTCTCCACATGCCCTTAATCGGTCGATAATGGCTGGTCACATTGAGAAGACTATTTCCCGATTAGTGAGTTCAAAGTTTAGCCATAAGGACATTTAAGATTTTAAAAGATATATAAAGACGTTCACCTAGTGTTTCGCATTGGGATAGTCTCACCTTAGGTGACACTTCCTTGAATACTAAGGGTAATTGTATATTGTTTCACGCAGATACAATTCACATGACGATGCAGAATATATTTTAGATTTTAGAATGCGATAAAAGGAGCGCATCTAAAATCTAAACTTTATCTCAGGGTCTTGGGGCCTGGACCTTGGTATCGTGTTCCCGTTTGCTTTTATGTACTAGACCCCTAGTTGGGTCAAGGCTACTACCTGGTACCCGAGCGGCGGCGAACTGCGTAGCTCCTAGGAGTGACTGACGAGCAGCTCCCACAGTCGAGGCGAACGCTACGCAGTTTTCTGAAGCAGGGGCCGTGGCCAATTCGGCGTGAGCGAGTGAGCGAGAGGAGGAGGAGGAGGAGGAGGCTGGGAGAAAAGTGGGCGTACCGATGCATCCATGGACCGAGCCATGGAAAGGATAAAAGGATCCATGGATGCAGTGGCGATGGTGGGGCCGCGATCCGGGTTCACGCGACACGATATGAGAGATTCGACGGGCCCTTCTCCTACCGCGCTTGGCCCAGCTCGCTCGCCAAACTAGCCTTCGAGCAGCGGTGTCGCGCAACGCTTGACTTCGGCCGCAGAGCGGAATGTCTGCTGCCAACTAACTGCCAATCTGCGAGGGGGCGTGCGGTTCGGACCTCGGCAGCGCGGGGAAGGCAGCAAGCAGGCAGGCAGGCCCGCACGCAGCCGAAGAAGAATCGTCCCCTCCCTCCGAGCGGGAGTAGCACTCCGTCTTCTTCCGCCCTGCGGTGTCGGAACAATTCAGTCTCAGGCACAGCAGCAGCAGTGTTCATATTAGACCTCGGCTCGCGGCTCCACTTGGCTTCGGTCGAATATAAGTCTGCCTCTCGCAGCTCGTCCCTTGGAAGCGAAGCAGGCCAGAGATCTTCGACGTGTCTGACTGTCTCAAGTCGATTCGCTCGAGGCTCCACTTGTCTTCGGTCGTCCTCTCGCAGCTCGTCCCTTGGAAGCGAAGCAGCGGAAAAAATTGTATATCCGGAGCGCGGTAGCAGAATTTGATCGACGACGTGTGGAAGAATTTAAGAAGATGGACATCAAGAAACTTTGCTTGTTCATTGTCGTGGTCTTGGGCACGATTACTGTTTCGTGGTCACGTCCTTTGATCAGAGAGTTAATCCCGGATGATGATTTACCTCTCGATCCAACCCGAGGTACTTTCGTTGCTCAAACTTCTCTCATACTTTCGCTGATGATAGTTCGCTGAATGTCAATACAATTGATATATTGTTGAATTGCAACTGATATCACAGATTTTAGATATATTGTGGAATTGGTACTGATATGAATGGTTTCATTCTCGCAGACGATTTGTTGGGAGATTTTGATGTTGTAGAAGGAAACGTGGCGAAGATCATTAGTGAAGCCGCAGATAAATTGAAGAGGGTAATCCATCGCAAGACACCCTACGAAGAGAAAGTGAAGATGGTCATCAATCGCCACCAGACACCCTACGAAAAACTGGCCGAGGTATGCACTAACTAGTATCAATTCTTTGAAATTTTTTGAATGTCTCTGAATGCCTTTTCATTCAGATATAGTAAGATTTCAGTCGCCTTTTCAATGAGTTATGTGATTGATGTGATTGTTCGAGTCACCAGCGGCGACTGACAAGAATCTGGAATGTTTAATGACAGATTGATCGACTGAAGTTAAGCATCGTGAGGATTATGTGCGAGAACACGGACGAGGGTTGCGACGATATGCAGGATGCCCCGATGATGAAGCTGGATGAGAATTTCGCAAATATTAATCCTGAAGATTACGTGAAGGTCGAATGATAGAGAAATCGCAATTCACTTGAAAATTCTGTAAATTAGGACAGGTAACCTTCAGGACGTATATACTTGCAGGTAAAATAGCTGGGAAAATAGCTGGGACAATCTTGTAGAAATCCCACTCATATACACACAAACATATCCTCCTCCTCTTCTCCGACTGAGAGAAGAATGTTGACCAAGTCTGTCTTCCGATTTCATTCTGCACAAATACAGACATAACACGTAGAAAAATAAATCAGGAAAATCTCCTGAAAATCTCTAGACGCGACCCGGGCATCAATTGATGTCACGAGGTGGTTCTGAGTCTAGAATCTCAGAACACAGTTTGTCATATGCACACACACAAATTCCGGAATGCGAGGTAGAAAAAGTGCTCCGAATAGAGGTATGGAGATCCAGAATGAAATCTAGAGGGGCAGGACAGTAGTTGATCCAGGTGGATCTGTTCATACAGGCTTTGCGAATTTTGAAAATGTAAAGGAGAAGTGATTTGCTCATATGGTGATTGTGGTCGCTGGATTCAAGCACGTTGTTGTTCTGTCTTCTATCTTTCACTTTACTCTGCAGTGTGTGATTCGAACAGTGTAAGATTTATCTGCTGTTTCTTAGATGGACAAACATTGTGAGCCGATCACCGGTTCAGGCCATGCCTTGCATTTCGAGGGATCGATGACCTTCTCAACACGACCTTGATTCATCTCCATGAATCGAGAAACTCATCGCGAATGACTGCACAGAGTAAGTTCGATCCTCGGGAGTGCACAGAGATCGAAAGCAGGATCATGGCATGGATCCGAGTGACGGCCGGGGTCAGCTCAGTACAAAGGGACACGTTTGCAGGTTAACGTGGTATCTGGGGCAGTGCCCGCATCTCAACTTGTCCGAGGTAGCGCCCGTATCTCCATCAGGGGACGGGAGGTCCTCTTACAGAACAACACGTCCCGCCCCGAAGTGCCTTGTAACCCAGCTTTGGCGTCCGTGGCGACATTCGAGAATCTCCACCGCTTTAGGATTGGGATTTAGCGTCGGGACGGCAGCAGTCAAACAGAGATAAGGTTCGGTTTCGGTCTTCTACAACGCGCAATGGGTCCTCGAGAGCTTTCCCTTTCCTCGGACTAGGCAGGCAGCCAGTGAGCCAGCGAGCCCTCCAGATCCTTTGAGTATTTCTCCATTCATGGCCGCGTGGTGGACTCTGTCATCACCCTTCCCGGCCCAGAACACGTCCTTGTGCTTTGCGGACAGGTTCGGATGGAACCTCGGACCGGACAAGCGTCCATGCCACTCTTACTCTTTGTCCAGTGCCGTAGCTTCTCCTTCTTTCTTTCTGCTGTTGACATTCGGTGCGCTCGTGAGATGCTTCTCGTTGGCAGCGAGCAGTCCTCCGAGAGTGAACCGGTGGGTCTGCGAGTGAGCCCCTACCGGGCCCAAGGAAGCGAAGAAAAGGTCCCTCTCGCCGTCTGCTGATTACTTCTGCAATTCTGTCGAGAAACTTTTTGCATGGAATCTGGGTGGACCTTCGGATGGAGATCATGACCTAGATTGAGATTAGCACGATTATGTGATGGAGATGGTCGAGGAACATGAGGCTGGCTATGTTCCAAGCGCGGATGCCTAAGTTTTCATTGTCTTTTGTCACGGAAGCATAGAGTCTTTCTTTCATTCAGTCTTTCTTTCATTCAGTCTTTCATTCATTTACATCTGAAAATTCATCTACCTCGCACACTGTTGTCGGTGCTTATTTATTTGGGAGTAAACTTGTTCTCGATTCCAAAATCACATCATCTCCGCACACGCAATTAGAGGGCCCTGTGTGGAAACGAATACAGAGACCTTCTTTTCTCATCTAGAAATTCCAAACCTCGAGAAATCACGTGACTCTCTTCCCACCGCAACGGAGTCCAATCGAATGCACGTCATTACATGACGTGTCTTCGATTCGTCTTTACAGCAACATTAAAATCATTAAAATATACGATGAATGGAGTCCTTTTAGATGTAGCAGACCAAGGGAAAGGAAAGTGCGGAGAATGTAGGTGTTTACCTTCCTCTCCACGAAGCCCTCTCTCTCGTCCACGATGTGTTTGTGAGGGCCATTTTAACGAAGTCGCATAGCCAGGACAAGGGTGTATCGATCTGAAGCGGCTTGGACTTCTCTGTCGTTTCCAACAAATGTTCATTCTCTGCATTCTCTGCATGCCAGGTCTTGTTTCTCGGGACGGGTGCAGAGACTTGGTACTAACGCGGATCAACACACAACCACGTTACGACATTGCCACTGTGCATGTGGCACCGTAGGTCTCTTCTGTCGAGATACGCACAGTATACGACGTACTGTACTTATTACTCTAGGACTCAGTCTAAGTGTAGAGTTTGACTAGAGTTTGAACCCAAAGACTAAGTCATATGAATAGGAGTTAACACTGGAACTGCTACAAGTCGGTTTGCTCTTTGGAGGTGGATTATCAACCAAGCCTTCAGATTGTTAACAAGAGTGCTCGCAGAAACTGCATTCAAGGCAGCGATGTATATCAGCCTGATTTTAGTCGCTTTCAAACTGATCAAATTGTTCGAGGAATGAACTGGGTGGTGGACTTTTCGGAGCTTGTTTGAAATTAGAATATCAAAACTTACCTTCATATCAGCGTCTTCAAGTTGCTGGCATGAAATTGGCAATGTCATGACACTGATTCTAAGCAAATAGATGACTGAGAAATGCAGTCGGGTTTGTATTTTCTCGTATTCAAAAGCTTTAAGATTTTTACTTTTTCCGCTAACAATGCATTTTAGACAAGCTATTACAGCCTCTTAAAGTAACAAAGATAATTTTTCATTTTAATGTAGATATACCATTTTAATTTGACAACGCTTTTAAAAAATGTTTCGTATATTTTTTTTGAAATTTGATCTTCAGGATCTCCACGTGAATGTGATTTAGTTTCTATCTTTGTATGGCCAAAAATGTAAACTTACAAATTACTTTCTATATGCTAATTAATATTTTTGTAATTAAAATAAAGATTTGATTGATTTCATCATGACACGTTTTCAATCAATTTCGATTTGAAAGTTCACAGCTAAAAAAAATGTGATTAATTTTAAATCTAATTAAGTTCTTTTCTTTGAGCTTCATAAATATGATCCATAGTTTATATCAACAAACTTTAGATTGAAATCTTTTTTAATCAATCTAGTCGTTAAATGTAGCAAACGTTAAATCTACAGTAAATAAATAGTTTGCAAGCATGTTGAACTGCAGTTTTGCATTTTGCTTAAAGTAGATTTGAATTCATCATTAGATTGGATCGATAGATAATTCAATTGCAAAATCAGTTATAATACTTTGATCGTTACAGGTCTCAAGTGAATCATTTTATTCTCATTCATAAAAAGGGTTTGAATTTTCAAAACTGAATTGCAAGTAATCAGATTTATCATGTTTATAAAGTCTGAAAAAAAATTAAGGCAAATTAATTTTGTTAATCAAAAATTTTGTTTTTTATGTAATATTTTTTTTTATGAATCTTCACAAAAATTAGAACAGATTTTATAAATAGAATGATAATGGAATTTTTTTGAAAATAATTCTTCATTGATGTCATAGATTTTTGTTTAGAAAAAAGTAGTTTTGAAGTTAAAGAAATATTTTTCAATTTTATGTTTAATATCTTGACCAACAAAATTTCATTTCAATTTTGAAAAAATAATATTAAAAGTTCAAATGACTTTTAAAAACTCGAAATTTTAGATCATATACATATCTATGATTGATGACTCATAAATATGTTTTAAATACGAAGGACATGTATATATATATATATATATATACACACACACACACTTTAATTAGCTAAAAACTACCTTTGGGCCGTAGAGTTCAGGCTTTATCCGATACCAGAGCGCCTTCCGCGGTGACGGGCCGGGAGAGGGTTATAATATATTTGGTCAAATATTTTCAATTCAGATTTTTCTTATTTTCCGTATCAAAGATAAAATGAAGAAATGATATTTAAGTTTTTGAAAATTAAATTTATTTCAAAATAATTGTATCTATTTTCTTTGAGGAATCTTTGGAACCAACAGAAGAAATTATAAGTGAGTGCATGAGTGTAGAATGAATTTCAGAATCAAGATAAGTAATTTGTGAATGAAGTAAGTAAGTCACTCGATATAGTGGAATTATTCAGGTTGTTTGATAGTACAATTAATAACAAACTAATAAACTTTTATGACAAATTTGTAGTTGCAGGATTTCTTAATGAAATCTATGGTAAAATCGTTTTATAATAGAAATCTGCAACGAGGTTCATGTCAGATGAAATTCATGATAGTTCTCCTTTTCAAATAAATGTTTATTTCTTCATTCAGCAGTGGTATGATCTACCGAATTTACCGAAATCGATTTACAAATATTCAGTCGTGCCCAATGTGCGGGTTGGTTCTCACATGACATCTCAATGATGTGAACATTTCGTCAAACGAACTTAGCGACAGCTATAATACAGGACAGGAACGAGTTCATGACCATATAATAAACTCACTGATGGGCAATAATAAGTGCAGAGCCATCAATCAATATATGATAAAAAATAATCAGACGTGAGTATCCATCTTCGGTGGAGAATTCACGTGACACAAGTTTGAGCAACAGATAGCGTCGCCAGTTGTAACCCTGTCCAAGCTTGGTTGATGAGGACCTCAGCTTGGTTGATGGAGTTCCAGGGAGGTATACATCCGCTTCAGCTAGATTCATGGCCAGTATGTAAGTGACTTGACCGGCAGCTCGTTCAGTTGTTCAAAGATCGTCTGTGACCTCGCCGGCGTCCAGGCTATATCGAAATCTGGCACCTGCAAAATCACGTCCTCGAGGTAATTCAGGATGCTGACAACACTCCACGCCACAGAAGCACTTTTCTCCAGGTGGCAAATATCTTGATCTGCTAGCAATCTGAAAACTGCTCCGAAGCAAATTTCAACGCCTGAAACTACGCAGGAACTGGTGGAGAGATTGCCTCTGGGGCAACATGATTCCCTTGTGAAATTTTCTGCAGCAGCAGCAGTCCGTACTACAGGATCTACACCCACTTCAGAATGTCATTAAATACAAGAAAAGTCCTGCAACAACAGGACTTTTCTAGTTTTTAACGAGTAATCTATTAGAGGTATTTTTTTTAAGCCTGAGCAACTTTCAGCCCAGAGGCTCTGAGCGGACAGAACTTTTTAGTTGTGGCATCCAATAGAGTACCAGGAGCAATCTACATTCATGGAGAATGACGAGCAGCTTGACCGAGTCTAAGAAGTAATAAAACACTTCGCACAATCGAACCATTTATGCTTCGATTTTAGACACATCCCTGCCTTGCTGAGTCTGGGTCAAAGCATTAAATGTTGTCCCAATACATACAGTTCGTTTTGCATAAAGTTTACAGGCATCACTTTTGGGATTGGAGCCGTCTCTTTCATAGTTCATTCTCAATGGGGGTTTATCTTTGAAGTCTTTTCGCACCCGAATTACGTCTTTGTTTTATCTATGAGGTTTTACTTCGCCATGATTAGTTCACTCTCGAACTCTTATTTTGTTGAAATTATTGAGATGATGGAGGGGTAATTACTCATTACCACTCTTGCTCTTGCCATGCAACTGATTGTGTCACTCTCTGTAGCATTTCCAACATTCTACATTCTTGGAATCCCTTGACTTCTGATTGGTTCTATGTCTGAGGCTTTTTCTTCAGATCAGCTCCTAATGACTGCAAATGCTTGTGAGAAGAAAAAAACGACGATAACGGCACTAGAATTATTTTCCTCATTTAAAAACTTACATGCCAGTTACTGATGACATTGCATATGTTATTTTATTGTGTATGTCATATTAGTAATAATCCATAACCTAAGATGACTTTACTTTCATCCAATAAGATCATGAATGAATATGGTATGTTTGGATCCATCATTTATTTTTCACCGTGACACTTCTTTGCAATTTATTAGCTATAGTTTCTTAATATTGAAATGATATATCTATAATCACTCCATAAAAAGTACCAACTGTCACATTGTTACTTCAGAGTCTAACAGGAGCCGTGATTTTATTCCATCAGATAAAAATACACACACCAAAAAAAGTTTCTGCCACAGAACAAGAAGCTCTTAATGAGCATACAACCTACGGATCGCCTTGTGCAAATCTTTGCAGCACCGCATTACTGCAACAAAATTCTCCTGCAACAATGTGCGGCTTCAAGCTTCCATGGTAACCATACAGTAAATCTGTAATATTCTCAAAAAACTGATCATAGAGCAACGCAATAATTCCAATTCTAGAAGAGCAAAAGATTTAAGCCAAGATTGATTTACTTGGAAACAAGATTTGCATCATTTCATAAACTAATATTATCAACAGGGATTGGAAACTCGAAAATTGATGATACATAATTCAAAATTCCGCCGACGATTCGATTAAAACCAGCCCTTCTTCTCGCCAGAAAACTCTCTTTTACAAACTATCAATGCTTTCGAGCATTTGCTTCTTGACTGCTTTGTTTTGATCAATACTTTAAACAAACATGGCTGTGATACCACTGGTCGAAGTATGATGACTCATGTTGCATATTGGAAAATTTCATATACACGTTGACCATTGTTATGTGGATGTCTAACGTATAAATCCATAACCTGGAGATAATAACTGTGAACACATAAGAACATGCATCATAATGATGCTTCACAAGCTCTATAATGTCACTTCTCTCAATAGTCTTTCTGTTTCAAAAGTACAATGTTTGTGGCCACTTTTTCAAGGATTCTTTCATGAACAACCATGAATCTAAGTATATCACTAACTATTCACATTAGCTAAGGAACTAATAATATAAGTGATTATCAATATTCAAAGTCAAGCTAGAGTAAATACAATCGAAAGTTTTAAGCATCGACCTTTGAGTTACAATTGAACTGATTTATATTGATACATATTTCAAAAATTTGTCTCTTCCTTCCATAAGCTCGACTCCAACAAAATTTGATACCAAAAAAATAATTTCAGATATATATATAAATATATATCAAATGATTATAATAAACAGATATTATGTTTAAAGAGAAGATTGAGCTTGAGTCTCCATAACTGCTTCACTAGAAGCAAAAACTCCAATGATGATTAGAACAAAAAGATATAAAGGATTTCAAGATCAAAGAGAAGTTATGGAGGTGGTTTTGCTGTTCCTATGAATAGCTTGAATGACTTCAATTGACTTGCAGTGTTGTCCACGAAGGCTACGCGCTGGACATGGTGAATATGCTACGAGTTTACAGTGTCCAGTTCTTCCACATCTAGGCTCTCTCATCTATGGAGCCTTCTAAGTTAGTCCATGATTCATTTCTCTAGGCCTTGAATGCTTCAGAGGCCCATGTATTCTAATAAATCCATTACCTCGCTGCATTCTAGGCTGTATTTGAGCCAAATGATGCTTTGATACACTATTGTCGTTTCAGATTCCACATATACGGTTGAATTCTCCAAGAAATTGAAGAGTGGTTGTCTTATGTTGCTGGGTAAAAAATTGGAAGGGGTTTACAAGGTTTGTGGGCAGCCTTCTTTTATTCATTCTTAAACCAGGGAACCCGGAAAATTCTCTTTTGATTACGAAAGGACCGGGAAACGACTGGGCTTCGGTTCTCTGGCTATCAGCGAGGTCAGCCGTCATTTTGGAACATCAGTATTCACGTGCAATAAGACCTGGTGCAATAAACAGGTCATATTACTGATCATTAGTCGAAAGAAATTTTTACTAGAAAATTATGTCCTTGAATTTAAGAAAGTTTCAACACCAACACTTTGACATTGTGAACAAAATCACTCTATTCTTCCCTTCGCTCCTCCCTTCAGTGACTAAAAAATGATACATACTAGATAGCTTATCAGATCACTTGACCTAATCTACATTGCACATTCACTCAAAATGATCATTCATCTACGACGCCATTCTTTCCAAAATATCTGATCCATTCCGTCAACTTAAACCACTTGATCACCAAGAAAATAGCTAAAACATCTCAGGCCTAAAACAACCCTTTTTTCTTATCGTGACTGGTCCAATATCATCATCGTATGCAAGTTGGTTGCTTAGAGACATATAAGCGATTCGGATTCTGATTACAGTGGTTTGAACTGATTTCAGTATGGATTTATCTCAGTAGTTTAGGATGAGGTATACAATATCACTAATATAGGAATACAAACTGTTCTATTAGTAATAAAAAATGTAAAAGATTTCGCTTCTCAGTACAACAATCGCATGCATGCATTCTTGAATCTTAATTTCATAACTTAGTTGCTAATACAAAGTTCACTCTTGTTACAAGCTTACAACAATTACAAGCTTAGAAGATAACTCGATAAAAAAAATCATGTACAGGTGCATTGAAATCACTGATTACATGTGTTTCCGTCTATATTTTACTGTATTACAGTATTATACTGTCCTGCACTTCAAATATCATTGTAGCAGACTCAGAGTTCTACGAGGACGATTTTCTCTCTGTACCATTAAAACTTTGCTATCATTCAGATGCTATATGTTGTGTGTATAAACTACAAATATTCGAACGAGCATATAATAAAAGAATAACAAAACTAGTTTATCATGGAGTTACTCATGGACTTCACACCGTTAGCCTGGAATCCCAACATACAAAGAAGTTCATTTTGTTTCATTCCCGTATATCGTGCTTTCACCTTTAAGCAATAGGCGGTTTTGAGGAAAACAACCCAAAGGTTCACAATCTTTGAAGACACAGAAGCCTCGTATTCTAACTTCGTAATATTTTATTTTAGAACCCGTCTTGTGTAAGAGATGCAATAATGACCTTAGATCTTCAAAAGCTAATGAGCTCTAGCAAAGTTGTGTCAACGAAACATGATTTGTGGATGTTGATTGACAAACAGCTACATGACTCTTCGCTAACTCCGTGTGTTTTTCTCTTTTCTTGTAGGATGGCACTTGAAAGCCTTATTGGAATTTCTACCCTTTTGTAGAGTCGTGTCAAGTATCTGTCTGTCGAACCAAGTTGCACTTCGAGCTTTTGTTAAATCAAGAAGCACAAGAGGAATCGTGAATTACAGCTCCGCTTGTGCTTGCCAGTTATAAATGAAGGAACACATGACTTTATTAGAAAGTATAAAAGGAAGCTGGGGACGCGCAGCATGATACAATGCAATGCAAAATAAGGAAGCGAAGGAGGGATGTCCTAGCTGAATGGCAAAACTTTTCAACAAGACTCAGAATGACATCGTAATGAAGCTGTGATGATACATGGCGTTTGATCTGGGCCCTTGGTACGATTCCGACCGTCAGCTCGTTGAGCCGCAGCCAGCTGAAGGCTGGTTCTTAAGTTGAAGAGTCCAGCGTTGATGTAGGACGTTGTTCAGACCGCACAAATTCCAACATAACGGGACCTGGTCTTGCACGCCTAGGTATCATTCGCCTCTCCTCTTCTGTTAGCGTGATTCTTGATCCCACGACTCCATATGGTCTTACCCTGAATGTTGCGTATTCGACCAGTTCAAAAACGAGAAGTTGTCCAACTGGAAACCCATAATTGAAGAAGAATTTCCTCCAACCTCCACCCAGGCGATACTCATGAGGGAAATACTTCACCGGCCACATGCTTTCGTCAATGTCGTAGATCAGCATCATGTTTGTCACTTCCGTGGGAAGAAATGAAAGGCAAAAGTCTGGCTCGAAGTCCTGGACCCAAAAGAAGCAAATTAGAAACATAGCAACAACGAGTGCCCTTGAATGGAGTCTAGAACACCGTAGCAGATGTGACATAGAACAAAAGAAATTGCATTCGAGAGAGCAAAGTACCATAAAATCGAAGCAACCATGAGTCTTTTTCGGCCTTTCTATGACTCTCCATAAGTGGGGGTTTTGGATGATTTCGGGTAAATTGCGCAGTAGAGTCATGTGGTCCCACACATCCCTCTTATAGTATAAATTGCCATGCACACTTGGGTCACCATCACCAGAAGTGCTGCTTCCGATGCTTGCTGTCGACATTTGAGCGGGCATCGAAAATAAACCGAATGACGACAGTACTCGAAATGCTTTCCAGCGTCCCAAACGTGAATAAATCACATGCTCTCCTCGAAATGAGGAGCGCCCACGAGCCGCCGTGAAGCGAATGCCAACTCGTGAAAGCTCAAGGCCTCGAAGGCAGCTCGAGCTCCGTCGTCGTCTTATCCCGACCGGATGCGGATCTTGCATCAATCTTGCGACTGAGCCCAACCCAATGTCACTCGCTTCAGTACGTTCTTTTGAACGTTGCGAGTCCAGGATCAGACTCGAGCTCGGTGCCCAGTGGTTCACCGGTGTCCGTACGAGCGGTTGTAAAACTCCGTTTCTCCTTCAAGATCGTTTCTCTTCGCGCGTCGTGCTTACGAAGATTTGGTTTTCGAGCTATGGCTGTACATTATTGATAATTCGACGCATTTATGTCCTTCGCGAGCTTGAGATATTTTACATCTAGGTCCTGGCCTGAAATGAAAGAGATAATATCCTGTCATAACAAGGCTCAAATGGAGAATCGAGGTTTTTTTTAAAAAAAATTCTCTTTATGGAGATGATGCGGTGTTTAAATAATACCAATTAATCTTTACTAAGCTAATTCAAAAAAATTTATATCACCCTTGAGAATATAAAAGTATTTTCTGATTGAAATGCAGGAGTATTTCCTGCAAGTGGTAAGTGCTATAAGTTCCAACCGAAATGGGTCCAATTTCATTTTGAAGTCTTATCGTTTCGGTAATTGTAAATGCAATGTCTCACTGATTCGAGCTTCCCTTGATAGACGGGAGCCACGTATTCAAAACGCCCGTGATATATAAAGGTACAATAATTTTTATATCTCTGAATAATTGAGGTGGAAAGAATAGAAATATATTGCAGAGATATAATGGCCTTAACGAAGGCCGCAACTGATTATATAATCAGCTGCGAATGAATCTCTCATTCGCGTTCTTCACCAATTCTCAGTGCCTTACAAATTGAATGTGAGTTCTTCTGATATGTAACAGATGTCGTTTCATTTATGAATTATCATCATCTCATGCACTGTTAAATACCTCTTGTATAGAACATGGCTTAGTTTCCTTGGCTGAATAATAAGAAAACATACTCACCCGTCTCTAAGCCTCACATCTTTTTTATTCAGTAGATTGAAATTCAACCAAAACTTCCTGCAAACAACGAGGCTTTAAAACCTGCATATGTTTCCCCTGAACCAAGTTCTCGTGAATCAATCATCAGACTTTGTAGCTGGAAGAAGGGCCTGATCCACAAAGAACCTGCACATTATGTCAGATTGTTATTACTCAATTTCTGTTCTTGGGCCCTGATCAAACAATTTGATTGACTCCAGTTTTATATTTTCATTCGGAAATCTAATCTTTTTCAGTTTTAGAATCTAGAATGTATATTTAATGCGCCTTATTAATTCCCAGACATTCGGTGAGAAAATGATTAACTTCTCTAACAACAAATTCAATCGGACGTAGCTGAACCACAAGCTGGGATTGTGTATACTACAACTCATACCACGTGGATTCCACAACATGTCATAGAAGTTTTTGGAACGGGGTACTAAGGGAGAGCAGAGGCTTAGCTCGAGTCCGAAGGTGATGATTAAGCAGCAGAAGGGCGATGAACTAAAAAGGATGTGAGGCTCAAAGCCAGAGGTACAATACTATGCAGCGACAGAAGCAGATTGACGTCAAGAAATCCTGAGCTGAGGTAGCCTCTTATGTATACGATCGATGACCGATGCTAGATCTTTCATGATCAGGTATGTCGAGGTGCATTATATTCGTAATCTGCCGTTTCTGGAGCCTACTGCTTCGTCTTTTCAGAGTTTTGAGCTTTTATATCGTTAACGCTTAAGGTTCTAGAACTCCACGTTGAGGAGGTCGGATTTTATTGCTGCGGTTTCGGAGACAACACTCTAGCTGTTCAAGATTCAGCCTGGAACTGCATTCGCTTAAGGGCATTTTCCAAAAGTTCTGCTTACACGCATAGCTCTATTTCGGTGATAAGTAAATGCTAAGTGTCAGAGATACACATCCAAGTTATTTTCATGCTCAGAATTTCATAATTCTCTCCGCAAAGCGTCAGTCAGCGTTTACTGTCATCACGACAATTCTTCTTCTCTGGTCTATCAAGAGAGTACAGGGATTGAGCCTTGAAAATTTTTAAATTACGTAATCAACTGAAAATTTCCTCCAGGCTCACTAGATCAGTGCCAAACTGATATCAGAATCATATCTTGGAGATAATAGGTGGTTGACCTGGTAACTGTCGTGCGAATGTGAACGCGTGACGCTGATTTTTAAGACATTGTATACTGCAGGAGCCATCAAACAGAAGCTGTAAACCTTCGATTTTATAGCTAGTATGAAAGAGTTAGAGATCCTTTCTGGCAGAATTATGGCTCGATAATGGCTGGTGCGAACAGATGACTCCTGATCTCAAACGGTTCAGACTAGATGTTGCTGAAGTAGAATATCATTCATGCTTTGAATGCACAGATTTTTCAGGCATTCACTAACTGCAGCTCAAAGTAGTGACCGAGCTATGTTAATCTAGATGTCATGGTTGATGTCCCAGGACTCAGACCGTCCCAGCTCCAATGTCAATGGTCTTTTCACACTAATTTCACTTTGTTTTTCGTCCATCCGTCCCCGTTCTATACATTTCAGCCTGTTTTACAAAATAAAAGTAACCTGCGGAATTTCACAGTACTTCTCGTCCTGCTCCTTTTGAACGCTAATTGCTGAAATTGTCAAAGTGAATGCAAAATACCAAACTGATACAGGAGCCCGATCTCAGCCAAATGACCCCAGGACTCATGACGGAAGCCCATGTAAAAGTTCCCTTCGAAAGAGGCTGTGAAAGTTGTTGAGAAGCCAACTTGATATGTGTCGATGTAAAGGCTGATCCTACGTGCTGTGATTTGTTAACTATCTATGTACAAAATCCACTGATTCCGGAAGTTCGAAGAAGCATAAAAGATACGCTTGGTAACGTAAGAAGGCTTCGACCTTGAAGCATCGTTTTCCATTGGTTCTAAAAGATTTTGAAAAATAAAAGAATCTAAAGGTAAATTAAAATAAGATGTAAGTATTGTGTGGTGTAGGAAAGTGGAACAATGAACGGAATAATGATTGAATTCCACGACACAGGAATGGACAAACCCATTTGGTTCACAATCATCTTCAATATTTGATGGCACTGGAACTCCGGTATTTCAGCGCTTTCGACTCAGTGAAAGCTACTCGGATGTCGTACGTGATCCTTGAGCTTTACAACGTGCTGACTTCATTGTTCATCAACTTTAGTATCACACAGTTTGTGCACATATAACAAGTCTTGCATACCATGTTCGTATTTTATGCTGTTGGAGCCTGCTTTGAATAATGTTTTATCCTGCTCTCAGGCTGAATTTGCCTTCCATTCTGGAGTAATATCTGGAGCTTGAGGGACATTTAGCCAAATATTGATCAACCACTGACCAGCTTACAACCAGATTCTGAAGTTTGTTTGTTTGTACTTGAGATCCCTACGTCTGACCAAGATGATATACAGGAGTTGGAACTTATCACAATGCGTAGGTAAATAAAGAATAAAATTGGACCGTCACAGTGTCCCATGTTGCTGCTGAGTGACTCGGATTGGGAGCTTCTCTACACCTCTGCACATGTTGAAGGGACCCCAACGATGGGTGAATGTCATGAGTCGCTGCAGCATTGAAAAGAAGAATAGAATCCTCTACATGTGCATCGTTATCCTGGAAGCTTCTGAATCGGACTCATTTCTAAATAAATACACAAAAATCCAGTAGAATATACCAATTTCACCTTAGTAATAACTTGCACTGATTTTCACTAAATGATTACCTCATATCTTGACAAATTGAAATTTGCAGATATTCAATAATTCACATTTTAACTTCAATGCCTAATTCAGGTACCAAAATTCAAGTTGATGAATTTTGTTAGCGTTTATACCTTTGAATGACATGAATTGGATTAAAAATATAGAGTTTCACTGTTTTAACCCATTTAAAACAGCCCATTTATTCATATAAATGGGTTTTTTTATTAATACTATGTGAAAAATGAATAAATTTGAAAATATATCAATTCTTTTCATGTATTTATACGATTAAATGTTTTCAATTATCATGAAATTTTTTTATAGAGTTTCAATAAAATTGAACTTCTAGATCTGAAGAAAATACAATGATGATTTCATATTAAAGAAATTTCATAATCATAAGAGATAAAATTCTCTCATCAATAAAATTGAAGTTATACTCACAGTCGATTTTGGTCAAACCTGTTCCAAGTTCAAAAGTAGATTCTTGTTACCTCAAATATAATGTATTGATTTTTTAATTTATTTCAATATACATACATATATAAATGATTTTTTCATAAAAGTAATTGATTTATTTCTATACTTATTTGAATTTATATTTATTTTTTCAGTTATTATTGAAATAATTCAAAATTAAGATTCAAAGCATGAATTTTATCCAAAATCGTTATCACCAATGCAAATATATATTATAAATGACCAGCTTTCCGATATTTTATCTTACGTTTGAATATTCAAAGTGCCTAGCGTCACAGCCTTGATATGTTCTATTCGCTGTATGAAGGAAAGATTAGGACGTTATTGGGCTACTTAATCCACAAAGTAAAATTGATACAATGTTAATGACCTTTATTTCATTTGAAATGAGAAAAATCATGAAATCTAATAGCTTGATACCAAATTGTGTAAAAAAAATTTCAGAAGATACTCAAAATACGGTCCTGCAAAACAAGATATTGTCCTCTATACTTAATGCATAATATTATGTATTTTTGATTTTTTTTCTTCTTCATCTTTTTATGTGGATTGTTTCAACGTTTTGATGTGTACAAATATCACTAGTAGCAAGAATGTATGGACTCTTTTTATATGAATCTCAAATACATATCTTATTTCACTTTATGTGTTAAGCATTATATACTATTATTTTTTACTTCAAAAGTGAGATAATGAAATTTTTTCATATATAATATGAAAAATTCTATTACGTGTGTGTATAAAAAGGTGATTTACACAATTCTATGGCTAACTTATCATCACTACAAAACTGCACTTAATGATTAATCGTTTATTTCTACACCGGTTTTTAAATAACAATCCCTTATTATTATCATATGAGTTCTTTGAAACATATTACAGATAAATAAATTGAATAAAATTGATATTTTATATATAAAAATATTGATCGATATTTAAATTAAAGAATTTTCGTCTACATGTATTCATGAAGATTAAAAGTTATATATTCCAAAAGCAAATACGTCCGTATACATATGATTTTGCTTGCTTTTATTGTATATATCACATACATTTACTAATATGAACCACCTCAATTATTTGAATAAAGATTGTAACCTCAATCTTCAAATACTTTACTCAATGATGATTTTATGATCTACACACGTATAGAAATGATGAGCAAGAATTTCATACTTAATATCACAAATAAGAGATACACGGTTTGGAAATTGTATCGGATAAGGATAGTCGGGCGAGGAATGTGCATTGATAGAGTGCAACAGTCAATCAAATCATCCTCTACACATGCATTCTATCCAATGAAACCCATCGTGTTCCAAGCACCTGATTCAGATAGTCCGTCTATTTACGGCATAAAGTTAAGAATAAGTCATTTCGGAACATTGAAATCGAGGGACGCTAAGGATATTCATGTATGTATTACAGGACCGATGCGTGCAATACATTTTCCCATCTGCTTCATCCTCCCACTTGCAAAACTGACGCATGCAGTTTCGAAGAGCACCATGCCGGAAAGTTCATGAAGAAGAAACATGAAACAAAAAAATAAAAATGCTTGAAATCAAGACCCGCCAATCGGCTGAATGAATATTTAAATATACACCTCAATTAAATATACGATCCGTGGGATGATTTTTTTTTAATCGAAGCAAGGCCAGTCCAATGGATAATTGCGAACAGAGGAAGAACGGGTCTAGAGACGATGAGAGGGCGGCGGGAGGGAGAGAGTAGCGCCGTAGGCAGAATTGGCGTCGGGAGGCGCGACACCGAATCAACGGATCGACGGTGTGTCAGAGCGGCAGCCTCCCGTCGGGAGCAGGGTCGGGGCGGTCAACCAGTCAGCGGGGGTCGCGGTCAGGCCAGGCCAGTGGCAGGCAACCACCGGGTCGCTCGGCCGGGCGGCCACGGTCGGGCGAGCGGAGCAGCGAGAGCCCGGGGAATGGCGCATGAGGGCCCGTGCCTTGCCAGTGGCCGATTGCTCGACGGCCTGGCCACCTGGCCGCACTTTGGCCTCAATTGCTTCGACGCAGGGCCCCCCGAGCCCGCCAATCCGGCGGAGGCGATGTCCGAAGCATCAATTGGATACTGCGCTTGATTCACGACAGCCGAATTGATTTGCAGGTGCGTTGTGGTCCATATCCTCGAGCAATTGGAAGGCGGTGCGCCGGACGGGCCGCGAGGGTCGGGAAATTGGGGAATATTTCAGCTACCGGAGCCGCGTATCGGTAGCTGCTGCTTCGTTCGAGCAATTCGAGCCTTTGTTAGCGGTAAGTGGTGCAATTATGGAGCACTCTGTATGGTTTGCAGAGTCGAGGCGCTATTTGTGCGCCGATTGTTCGGAGAATTTCCCGTCTCTGTGTCTGAGTAGTTGGAACTTGGAAATCGGTGACGAAATTGATCTCTGATAGCTCGACTTTGATACGTGGATCGCTTGACACGCTGTTGACCAAAAGCGAAAGATTCGCTTTTGGGGTTGTCAGGAATGTATGACCATAATCTGCTCCGAGTGAGAGGGAAGAGGTTTTGTTTCCGGAGGGAATTGGTTGGATTTCAGCTTAGAGTTTCATGTGATGGCTGGCAAAAGCATGCTTCTCCTTTTGCTGCACGTGCAGTTCTTTTCAGTTGATCAAGCGATTATGCGATCATTCCCAATTGCCCTACTCTCGTAAGTGGGGTTGCGAGGAATGATCGTCCTCGAAAGAACCCTTTAACCGCCCTCCTTGGCGAGCAGGACGTTGTCTTGCGTTTGAACGAAGTTTTAAATTCTTTCTATTGTTTTTCGTTCATGTCCAAATTGCAGACAGCTTTAGGCTTCGATTTCTGCATAGGAATTTTTACAGGAGAAGTCTCGAACTGTCGAGAAGTTGTGGTTTTCTCTTATAGCTCAGTGCTGGTTTGAATTACTTGATGCAGTTGAAGGGCGGGTTGCCAGGTTCCTGCTTGTCAACCGCCGACATTTACGGGACGTCGTATCATCTGCAAAAGGATCTCTTTGTGACAAGGAGCAATTTGAGGCATTTTTGGCTACATGTGGATAACAGAACACAGGTGCCTTTAGAGTGAAATACCAGGACGTTTACTCCAGATTTCAGTATGGGTTCGGACAGCTCATTTGTCATGTCCAGGCTCGGAAGTATTTCGCTGGCTAGAATTGAGCAGTGCCACGCGCAGGATGGTCATTCTCAAGCAAGGTATCCCGGCCCTTTCCCTTCCTGTAGTGGAACAAGAAGCCCTGTGAGATCTCAGGACCTTCGGTGTGGCGTTGATGATTTTCATGGTGCGGCCCTACGGTTGTCACCTTCAGCAACCTCGGCTAGAACTGATATTGGAAAGCAAAGGACGGGAACTTACAGATTGTCAAGTCTATCCGACAACTATCAGTTTTTGAACTCCGAGGTTGTCCAAAGGAGAAGATCGTTCGCTTTTGAAAGTGTTTCTGTAAAGGATAATCGAAATTCTGGTTTTGGTCCAAGTAACTTCTTGGGTTCCACAAGGAAGCCTCTCGGACAGTTGGGAGCGAATCTTCATGGGACGCACTTTGAGAAACAATCACGAAAATTGAGTCCATCTGGAAGACGAGATTTGGTCATTTCTGCTGCAGCTACAGCAGATTCGGATCAAACACTACCAAGCCAAAACGGGTAAGCCTTCTGAATAACTTTTACGGTCAAATTGACAATATGAAACGGTTTGTTTACATATGCTCACAATATGAAAAATAAGCCCGGAGTGTCTATTTGGATGACATTTCATAGTCTTGGCCGTAAGCCGAAATTGGTCAGTGGAGCATGAGACCCATGATTCATCTCTATGAATCTTCCAGTCAGCTCCCTCTCGACATTGAGCTGGACTGTTACACGTCTCATTACAGTAGCTTTGTTTATTGCTCATGTTATGATTTATAACTCACTTCAAGCCGCTGTGTGAAGCTGGTCCAGATGAGCCTGAAAAGTTGGGCCTTAGAGTTACAGGGCAGAATTGATTTTTCAAGGGTGCGGTGAGTTTGTTGAGAGCTTTGTATACATTCAGAGAGTGTTGAAACTTGGGCATTTTGAAATACGAACTTCTGGTCCTAGACGAACGAGAGAACTTGTTACATACAAATTTCCTGGTTTTGGGGGAGTTAGAGAAGAACAAGTGGCTTGCATTGTTCTGTTGTCATTGTTACATGCTCTCAGGTGACGTTTAGATACACGAATCTTGTGTGCAGAGGTGGGGAGAAGCCAACACCAACGAAGCCACATCCAGAGGTGTGTTAATGAGGCCTTCCATAATATGGAGCCTCCTTATGTATGTCTGTATGCAGCAAGTTATAACTGATTCTGGTTCATGGTTTCCGTGTCATTTGGCTTGTTTGGGCTTACTTAACTTTTTGTGGAGGAGGCTCTAAGTGTTAGGGTTTGGCGTTTTTACTGATAAATTTCGTATAGAGGAGGCTTCCTTATACTCGTGTGTGTGTTGATAGCTGAGAATTGTGGTGAGGCTGAAACTTGGCTTTTCCAGGTGCATCCTGCTGATGTTGTAAAGGCTCAATTGAAAGCGTTACGAGAGAAGGATCTTGCTACCGTGTGAGTAACTTATTTTATGCATCGTGCTCATTTGATATGTGTCCCAAAATGCGCGAGGAGCCTTCTTCGTTTTTAGACTTTTATGGTCTTGCATCACTTTTCGTATGGATGCCTACCGATTACAATATCTTCTTTGTGTGTTGGACTCAGAATTATGTCTCAACCGCTTAGTTGCGGTTTATCAGCATGCCCACAACCGAAGTAGACTACTAATTGTATAGGCTGATGGGTCTTCCGATAGTTTTAGTATGCATATTTGCCCGGTTACATCTGTTTTCCAGCGGGAGTCCTTAGTGATTCACTTTTTGACCGCTGTAGTTGCGACTTATCATTATACCCAGAACGCAACTGAATATCTTTCTGTAGGGTTTGATGGGTATACCTATAAAACTCTCACTTCGCTTTTCTATCGGTATGATCATGATTGTCGATTGAAGAGCAACGCGTTTGATTGTTCCCCGTTGCAGATTTGAGTTTGCATCACCGAACAATAAAGCAAGAACCGGGCCACTTTCGAGGTTTTCAGAAATGCTAGAAGGACGGGCCTACAATGTAAGTGCTCTGCATTTATCAAATATGTTGGGGTTATACATCGCTGAGATTGGAATAGAAATATGTGTATGCATCTCAGTATCTGTGTAGGAGACTACCGGTGGCCTCTTTGGTAGTCAGTCACCTATGCCTGTTTTGTAATAAAGCAGCCGGTTCGCAGCGGGAAAATATGTTTATCATGTTCACATACCCTCTACTGGAAAATTTCGGGAAGTTTCAAATAATTTGCTTTTGTTCATCCACTTTAATTATGAACATTGTTGATATCTATGAACATTTACCGTCGCGTTAGCTTGGTGGGCTTGTTAGCAAATCTACCGTACTTAGAATGTGACATCAAATTTTTTTGTATGGAGGGACAATACTCTTTCCGCTTGACCCAGTAAACCTCGTTTCTCTCTCGCGGATCTTTTTACAAGATTTTGTCCTTACTTCGTCGTTTCTAAATCTGCACCAAAATCTGTAAATGTGTCTCGTGTACTGACCGTTTGTTGTTATAAGCCTACCCACAATAAACTACTGACAATTCCAGCACGCTCTAATTGATTTTGATTTGAAGGTTATGATCGGCCATGTCAGGGCTGAGGTGCTGAGCACTATAACCATCAGCGACAACCGCTTTCAGCAGGTAACTTCACCCAGATTTTGTTTTAGTAATAATTGTCCTATTCCAGACTGGGAAGTTCATGAACTGCACAATAAACGCTTTCTCTTGAAGAGGCATGAAAACGTCTGTACAAGTCGTCTTCTGTGGAAATCTCGTCCTTCGGATGAACATCTTTCAGATTGAAAAATACAAGTCAAAAGCTTTAATGACGGAATAGTCCTCTTGTTTGAACCTTGTCATTTGCAGCGAATTGTCATCGAAGGTGCAACAGGAAACAAGGCTACTTTTCAGTGGTCTCTATCACGTCAGGTCAGTTTGTTGGTTTTTGCTTTGAAAGGGTGTGATATGTGGAAATCGAGTCAGAGTGACTTCGAGTCAGAATCGAGTTTGCTCTCCATTCGTTTTATGATTGTAGCATGAGGTGGAAATAAGTCGTGCCTGTCTTCACCCACATTATGCGTACTGGAATCTTTGGCTTTTAAAGCATAGGGATCCTGTATCGTGCTACAAGTTTCTTCTGTGTCCTTATCCCGGCATACAATCAAATTATCGGAACGATGATGCGACTTGTGACGCTGATTTGATTCATTTGCACCATAATCCTGTCATCGAGGTGAATGGCGCCTCAACGGTTGACCCCATGTTCTTGTGCCAAGTGTAGTCTATTATGATACTCCGACTGTTCACACTTCGTATAATACTTGCTTATTTTGGTTGATGTACAGGAAGAAGGTCCCTTTGAATCTTGCTGGATGACGGACACAGTGCGCAGGGATGAATGATCTCCAAGACACAGTTCTTTATCAGATTTGAAGCGGACATAGTCCTCATGTAATAGATAACTGGAGGAAAAGGGCTGCCTCCATCTTTTGCAGACTGTTAGTACCTACCTATGTAATATAACAAAGTCTCAACTGTAACGTAGGTCCGACCGGTTCGTACCGGTAGTCTCCATTTTCGAACTTTCTTCTATACGATTCTCTTCAATTAGTCAATCAAGTGACCTACATTGAAGCTTGCAAGCACTAGTGGCTGAATTGGCTGTTATCTCAACAGCGCGTACAGGACATTTTTTTGGCAGCTATACGCATGGCTGTCAGGAGACTGAAGGAACTCGTTTGAGATGTAAGGCTCGCTGCTTTTATGCTATATCAGTGCATTGCACACTGTTTCTGAAATCCTACTTCAAACGAATTAGCTTGTGGTGTCTGGTGAAGTCTCGATCACATCTCCGTGTTCAGCAATTCCTTCAGCTTCAGAGAATTCTTGATGGGTTGGGAATTGTCTGAAGACCTCGAGTGATTTGTCTGTATTCTCGATGGTTTCTTCCTCAAATGGAAGTGGAGGTCATGAGTGCTATTTCCTTGTCTTTCTTTCAAGGAGCGGCGCGAGGGGACATTAGGCCAGCAGGACTACGTAACCTCTTCAGGATCCCGTCTTCTGGAGGGTTAAGATTATTCCATACATATGCCATGTCCGAAAAGGGAGCTAAGCATCAGGCATCTTCTCCTCTGGTCTTTCTTATCATATCTCTGTCCTGAATCATGCGCAACTGATCTGACACGTCCTTCATGGTGGGTCTGTCCGCTAAATCTAATGCTATGCACTTCAGAGCTAACTCGGCCACTTCGTGGATCGTCGCGGAGCAGGCCTTCCCCAGACGCTTAAGTTCAGGGTCCAGTAGAGACTTGAAGGCGTTGTATCCACTCTTTCTCTTGCTCAGAGCAAGGGCAGCCAGCGTAATCTCTCCCGCTGGCCTGGTGAAATCCACCACCTTCTTGCTGGAAACCAGTTCTAGAAGAATAACGCCAAGGCTGTAAACATCGCTCTTGTCCGTATATCTGAAGGTTTGTGCGTAGCTTGGATCGATGTAGCCAATTCTACGTTCGGGCAAAGCGGAGATTTCCTTTGCAAACAAAGACCTGGAGATTCCAAAGTCGGCAACTTTGGGTGACAAATTCTCGTCGAGCAAAATGTTCGAGGACTTCAAGTTTCTATGGTACATGGGTGGAGTGCACGCCTGGTGCAAGTAAAGCAATGCTTCTGCCGTCTCGATCGCTATTAAAAACCGGGAGTCCCAATCCAAATTGTCACCGTTTTCCTTGTGCAGATGTTGCGACAAGTCGCCTATTGGCTCGTACTCGAAGACTAAAAGTGGCTCGTTGGGTTCCAGACTATAGCCGAGCAGCCTGTTCAAATTGTTGTGCTTGAGGAGAGAAAGGTTCTTGACTTCTTCTTTCAGCTGGTGGATGTTGTCATCACTCACGGCTTTCAACCTTCTGATGGCCACCGGGCGTTTGTCTGGCAACCTTCCTTGGTAAAGAGATCCGATTTCGCTCTCTCCCATCAAATTATTGGTAGAGAAGATGTTGGTTGCATACGCGAGTTCCCTGTACGAGAATTGCACGCAGCTGCTCTCTTGCATCTGTTTCAGAAAAGGCATAGATCCAGCAATTCAGATTGCCATGTCTGTCTGTCTGCGCGTTAATCAAACATCGAAGTCCCATCAAACCATCAAATCGAAAGACAAACGATTTGTGCAGCTGCAGCTCCCCGTCCCGCCCCTTGCATCCCGACAAAATACGACCACTTGCGAGTGTGATCATCATTTTACTTCAGACTTCAGACTTAGGAAGGTCAAGCGCGAAGGCTCACAGCAACATTCACTTCACTGTCCCTTCGAACATACTCAATTCACTACACCCCGAAGCTCGATCCTCCTCAGGCAAACGCACTGAGTACTCGACGCTTTGCGCACACAGTCTCGAGAGTGCACCGAGATCACTTGTGCAGATTACAAAGTGCAAATTGCAAATGTCGTGCATGGCAGAAGAGGAAGCTGAACGAGAGAGGAGATTCGGGAGGATGCGGAGGAAGGGGGTGGGGGCGAGGGAGCCTGACTTGGGCGAAGGCGTGGCTGATGCGGGGGACGAGCGAGTCGGCGCGAGGCGACTTGAGGGCCAAGGGCGAGGGCTCGATCTGCTTGAAGAGAGCGTAGAGGAACTCCTCGAGCGAGGCGCCGGTGCTGAACTGGCGGCCCCAGCCGCGCGCCTTGCCGTCGAGGTGCTCGAGCGCCACCAGCAGCGCCTGGTCCTCCGACAGGCGCTCCTGCATGGCCCACGAGAAGAAGGCGCGCGTCCAGGCCTCGGCCGCGGCGCGCGCCTCGTCGCCCGCCAGCGTCGGCACCAGCGCCTCGCCCCGCGCCGCGCTCGCGTACAGGCAGCGATTCAGACTCCTGGCCACGCGCCCGCGCACCGCCTCGCTCAGCGCCCAGCGCTCCCCCATCGCTGCCCGGCGGCGCAATTGCCCGTCCTCCCGCCCGCCCGCGATTCTCAGCACTCCTCGACTCCCCCCGCCCGCGCGGCCGCAGCGGGCGCGGGCCTTCCCTGCCTCGCCCGCGCCCGGCCCGACATCAGCATCGATCGTCAGTAAACCCCGCCCAAAGCCCCGCACGAACTCAGTCGGCGTCGATCATCGCTCGACGGAAGGAAATCTAAAGCCAATTCTTCGATCACTCCGTTCGTCCCTCTGTCCGTCCGTCGGCCTATGAATCCATTCATCCATCCATCCATCGGAGCTACCATCGGTTTGAAGCGCCAGATTCCAACGCGCGCCGTCTCTTCGAGCCTCTCGGACTCGACGCTCGCCGAATCTTTCGTCCGCGTCCGGGCCTGATCAGGCGACCGGCTCGGACCGGCTTAGTGACCGGCTCGGACCGGCTCTGGTTCTCTTCACACGGCGCCGTCGCCGATGCGTTCGGTTGACTCGCTTCCCTGCGAGTACCGGTCGATCAAAGTGGTTGACATTTGGCGTATCGATGTTTTGTTCGTTCGGTTTCCGAGGCCTGTAACCAACACTGGCCGAATTGAATCGAATCGAATTGCCCGAGGGCCAATTTCGATGGAATTTCTGGATGCTTGATCGAGAGTTCGATCAAGAAAGGCAGTCGCTTCATCTCGTTCTGGGCCGGGAGGAAGGGATGGTGAGATTTTCGTTGAGTGAGGCGGTGCGCAAGGACATCTCCTTCTCGGGGCTGCGGCTGATTCCGAGGCCCGAGAGCGGGGATGTGTTGGTTCCCGCATACAAGGGAGAGGAGGCGCAGGGCGACGCACTGACATTCCTCCGCCTCTGGGGCCTTTGGGCGATCGGCATGGGATTGTCGCCCGATCTGACCAAGCAGATTCTGGAGAAGTACATCCGAATCACGTTCCACCTCCCGACGTTCGCGGACCATGCGACTTGGGACGATTTCATCGACACCTACTTCGCCACGCACCGTCTCACCGGAGGTGCGTCCCCTTTCCTCATCCGCCATCGTCGATGCAATTCACTGCAATTCAGTCCCCACTGAAATTCCTCCCTCCCTCGTCGTGCAGCGCAAGAATTTAAGGACTGGTACAGGAACATCGTGCAGAAGGCGGGACTGCTCATCACCTGGTACTCATACTCAGAGCTGGCGATGGCGACCGACTTCTTCGCGGCTGCCAATCGGCTCGGCCAGGGAGCCGAGGGAGTGGTCTTCAAGGCCCGACTGCGCGGGCCGCTCGGGGTGGTCATGGACGCAGCCGTGAAACACTTCAAAGGAATGCCGCAGGAGAGCCTCGCCAGGGTGCTGCGCGAGGTGGCAATCCATCGAGAAATTGACCGAGCCCTCGTCCCGGACATGGTGCATCTCGTGGGCTACTGCACATGCGCCAGAGCGCCGCTGCTCGTGTTCCAGTTCATGGACAATGGCAATCTGCGGCACCAATTGGAAGGAGTGTACGGGGATTTCCTGCTCGAGCATCCGAGGGCGAGGCTGTCAGTCGCCATCGACCTGGCAAACGCCATCGCGCAGCTGCACTACAAAGGCCGCTGGCCAATCTTCCATAGGGACGTGAGGTCGACCAATGTGCTGCTGAATTCCAACTGGCGGGCCAAGCTCACGGATCTGGGCCTCGCGGTGACGATCAAGAGCGAGGCGGACAAGCGGATTGCGCCCGTCTCCTACTCGCAAGGCTACGAGGATCCCGTTTACACGCACACGCGAGTGCTGCACGACAAGACGGACGTGTACAGCTTCGGGGTGGTGCTCATGGAGCTGGTGACGATGATGAAGGTGTGGGATCCGCAGCGCCGCCCCGAGCGATCGCTGGCGGAGCTCGTTGTGAATCGCACCCGGAGCGGCAACCCGTACACTCTGATCCGGTACCCCGACAAGGGGGGCTGCCATTCGAGCGATGTGCTCGAGAAGATGATGCACGTCGCTGTTTCGTGCTGCCATAAGGACCTGGAGCAGCGACCGACCATCGATCAGGTGGCCACCGATCTGCAGGACTTTCGCAGCCATGGCTCTCGCCGCAAATGGGTCGTCGATCAGAGCGAGAGCGCCCCGGCCCCGGACTCGGGCTGCATCGGCTGGAAGTGGGAATTGGACCCCGACCCCAAACCCTTCTGAGCTCGGAATCTGCCATAGATCTCGAGCTCCTCCTCACCTCGTGAGAAAGCTCTGCGAGCCTCGCGAGTCGAACTGGGCACCATGTTTCGTGTGCGAGCTGAGGTCCAAGGTCCAAGGGTCAGACACGAATCCATTCACCCATTCGTATCTGAGCGACCACGTGTGAAAGAGACGAGCTCTTCAGCGCTCTTCGGACCTGGTGGTGCATTCTCATGAATCAAGAGCCGAACCGTCTGAGCGTTCGGGTCCATCCTTCAGACGATGGTGATCTGATCCAGGCCGTGTGGAGGAATTCGGCTACCGATCCGACTCGTCTGTGAAATTCCAGGAGCAATTCGCTGAGATTTTGCGAATGTGATTAGCTCGAGCTCCCGAAGGCGCTGAAGCAGATGATATATAGGCTCCGGTGCTGAGGGGGATCGGATGGGATGTCGGAGCTCTGGAGGTCACCGAGGCATTACGATATAGAGGAGTCGGTGAAGGTGAAGCTGGGAGTGGTTCTGAGCGACCCGCCAGCGGATGATGCGAGGGTGTACCTTCTGCTGCCGATCCTGTTCGAGCACGAGGAGAGGGAGATCTTCGATGGCTGGATCAAGTGCTTCGGTCGCTGGGCCATGCAGGAGGGCCTTTCGGACGATCTGGCTCTCGTCTTCGCGCTCGAGTACATGAAGTGCACCGCCTTCTCGTGGTCTCGCCAGTTCTGCGAAGGGCACACTTGGGAGGACTTCGTCCGCCGCTACTACCAGCGAGTGAATCCCGATGACTCCAAGGTCGCTCAAGGTTTGTTTGCTCTGTTGCCATCATCGCCGCAAGCTCGCTCTCGAATTCCGGAGCCATTCATGTCCAGAGTCTGAACCCGATTGTGTTTTCAGACGTGAAGCGCTACATGAAGTGGTACCGCAAGGAGTATCGCAAGACCAAGAGGAGACTCGATGCCACACGCTTCTCTGCAAGGGAGTTGGCCAAAGCGACCAACCATCACAGTGAGGAGAATCTGATCGGACGCAGTGTGTACCTCGGGCGATTACCCAACTCCCGCCTCGTGGCCGTCAAGAAATTGTCGGGGTCCCTGAGCTGGGAGGCCCTGAGGCAAGTCCAGCGCGAGCTCGAAGTTGTTTCGCAGAGCAGACATCCGAATTTGGTGCGGTTGATCGGCTGCTCCCTGGTTTTGAACGAAGCGAGTCTGGTGTATGAGCACATTCCCAACGGGAATCTGAGACAGCACCTGGATGGATCCCTCGGGGTAAAACCGGACTGGGAGACTCGTTTAAGAATAGCTTTAGAAACAGCCCAAGCACTCACACACCTCCACTACTACTCGTTCCCTCCAGTCATGCACGGGGATGTGAAAAGCAGTAACATCCTCTTGGCCAATCCTCCCATTGTTAAGGTTGCAAATTTCGGCTTCTCCAGGACTACGATTGATCTGGCTAGAGCTGCGGGATATATAGATCCCCACTATCTGCAGACGTACCAGTTGTCCGCCAAGAGTGACGTTTACAGCTTCGGCATTGTGTTACTGGAGATCGTGTCCGGTGCCCAAGTGGTGGATTTCAGCAGGCATAAGAGCAGAATCACCATAGCTGCTTTGGCGACTAACAGTCTGAAGAACGGCCGTTTCAGCGAGTTGGTAGATCCGTACTTGGTTTTAACTGGTAGTGCACAAGACCTTAAGCAGTGCAAAAAAATGGGCAGACTAGGCCTGAATTGCGTGAGCATGGACCCTCATGCCAGACCTACGATGAAAGAGGTTCTCAACTATCTGAAAGATATCTTCTTCGCCCGCCCCTCACAAATTTAACCCTCGACCCCTGTCCTACAGACCATGTGATGTGTAGAACCATCTGGATGCTTCGTACAATAACTTGTTTGTCCATGACTCTCAATTGTGTCAGCACAATACCCTGTAAAGATTCTTCCTGCACTATACAAGAAGCGTATCACGGAGACTCATCCCTGCTTTCGTTAACTTGGAAGTCATCCTCTCAACTCGGACGGTAGGCTGCTCTACACGCCTTCCATTATCTGAGTTGCGACATCAGTTTGTAGGTAGTGGCTTTTCGCAGTCACGCAGACCAAAAGAAAATATAAGGAACCCCGTGTTTTAAATCAGCATACACCTTACAGGATAACCATCAGTAGATGATCGGTTGATAATAGTCAGTTCTCGAGTACCAGCATAAAAAATACAATTGTGCCAAGAGACTAGTAGAACATACCCTTCATGCCACCTTTTGCATACCTTTCCTCGGACTTGACCCAGTAGAGCGTTCACAGTCGGAAATGACATTTCAACAACCTACGACCTGCCGCTGCCGACCATACCTGGACCTGGTATACAAACCTACCTACTACTTACTGCTGGAAAGCAATAGCGACGGAAAGTTTCATCCAGCGATACATACTGATACATGCGACTTAGCTATCTGTTCGTAGGCTGTGCTGACTGCGACGTTACCCCCTCACCTTTCCTTCAATGCTGTACCTACCAAGAGGAGCGCTAAGCAAATAACGTTTCAGTGGAGACCATAAATCCTGGGCTTCGTATGTTAGCTAGTTTGCTGTGTTGTATCATCCGAAGGTTTGTAGACACTGTAGTCTCCAAATTCTCTTCTCCCGCTGTCAACACATATATACAACGAATTAGATATAGGACTACCACATGCTCTAAATTAACTCTTGCTGTTTGAGCATGGATTTGAGGCTCTATGGCTCCTGTCAGCGACGGTAGACCTCAACAAGAGTGCATGTAAACGGGTTGCCCATCCCATACCACATGAAGAGAGTAACGGAGTAGAACATACCTGTGCGCAATGTCCCATCCTGGTGGGAGGAATGCAGGTTTGAGAGCTTCCACGAAAACCGCACGCCACTGCTGACAAAAGACCCTTATTCCTTCATCCCCATCTTGCGCCATCAAAGCTTCTACGACTCTTCTCCCGTGTGCTCCGTGTCCCAACAATGAGCCATTTTTGCGGCTTCTGTGTCGGTGCGATTGCCTCCTCGATGGCAGACTCTCGATAAATATCCTCTCATTGTCATTATCTGTTTCGAGATAATTGGACGTGGACGCAGTTTGCCTACTCTCCGGATGCTCACTGGCAGCATCATCCTGAGTATCGACTATCAACGACCTGCAAGTTTCCGCTTCTGACTGCACATTCTCGTCTTTGACGGTCAGTGCAGACGAATGCTCCCGCTGATTACCACTAAGCGTTTCTGCGTCGGATAGATGCGTAGCTTCTTCGTCAGTAGCTTTGTTTGCAGGACTTTCCCGGCAAAGTCTCTTCTTGGAAAGACGATGACGTTCATGCGGTCCCATGCTCACCAATAAAGCAGCTCGCAAGTCTTGTTGGGATATATTCTTCCTTCCATAAAAAGCCTTCACAACCTGTACAGCATTGAAAGCGTTTGCATTTAGAGATATCCATAAAAGTTCGTGATAATCAGATTTCACAGATGATCAGAATCAGAGCTGCCAGCCCGCAACGAAGAAAACACCCAGCCTAACAAGCAAAATTTGGTGACGATCGAAAAGTCAAATATCGAGTCATTGAACTGAAAGAAATCAAAATTTAACACTTGCGTGCACAGATCTGACACGAACAAGTCATAAGATTTCCAAATATGGTGTCAATAGATATTTATGAAGGCGAAAACAAATGTCAGATGATGTTTTAACACAATCGAGGACTTACTTCTTCGAGCTCTTCTCGACGTTGAGTTGGGATCTTCGACCCGTGAAGCAGAAGGGCCATTGAAGCATTTTTCAATCGCAGAGGGGAGACACCCTTTCCACTTTCAGGTTCAGGAACAACGGCCTCGTTTTCTCCTCCATCGCCATCCATTACCTTTGCAAATAAAGGTACCCCGAACTGTTCTGCGATACGTCGCTTATGATTTTCAGCTGCTTTATGTGCAGCTTCATGGCAGTCGACACAAAGGAGGACTATATCATGTGACCGATGACTTTTCAAATGCTCGGGAAAATACTGTCGGTAACAAGAAGGTATGATCCGATAGCGCAAGTAATGGCTACTCTCTCCGCAACCTACACAGCGATTGGACTTGCTTTGAACGTAAAAGTCATTGCCCTCGTCGTCTGGTCTTCCTTTCGGTTCGAAAAGAAGCTTCACTGCGGGAGGATCTTCTTGAATGAACTCTGCAAGTCCACGACGGACATACCTGAAAACCAACCAATCCTTCGGATCATGATCATGATGGAATTCAAGACAACTGCATTCATCTCATGACCATACAAATGATAGTTCAAATAAGAGCCGAACTGATTGAAGTTTGTATGGAGTACAACATATCCTGCATTTTTAGTCCTACGTCATTCGTCAGAAGGTACAACTCGAACTCCTAGTGGGCTAACGATGAAGATTTCAGTTCCAGTGATGGCTTTTGCTTCTTTCGGTAGTTATTAGTCATGAACGACTGCAACTGTTTGGATGCAATATTTTGCACTCATTTCGAAGAGAAATGACCCATTTACATCCAAAACATGACGTCGGATCACAGTGGATAGAGCCACCCCATACGCATATAACGATAAGTAATACAGCTGTTCGGGAAATACGACTCTGGGATAAGGCGGAAAGTACCAATCAAGTTTTCTTCGGTCACAGAAGCAAAGCAGACGCCCGTCATCAGCGTAGATCCGGCAATTGTGATACACAGGTGCTTTACATGAAAACTTCTTCACAAACTGCATCCTGGACCTCTCCGTATTCCTCCCTTTAGACTGTCTTGGTGTCTTAAGTTTCCAAAGGCCATTCATATCTTTTGAGTCATTACCAGATACCGATGCAGAGAAAAAGTTCAACGGGGAACACAGTTTGTCATAGAGGACAGAAAGGTAACTTTTGGGACTGAGTCGCCCAGGCGCTTGTGACGGAGACAATTCTGAGCAGCTGGAATTTAAATCTTGAATCACATCGCAAAGTTCATCTATATACTGTTCAAGTACAGGTGAAGGAGAGTCTATTGTCGGTATGATTGGAGAAATAAGCGCATCTGATGGCGGAGGAGAAGCATCTGCCGCGGCTACTGTGGTGAATATCAACTCCGGTGTTTGAGGACAAGAGCAAGCAAGTGCGATGAGAGCTGTATCAGATAGTACAGAGCGCAAGCTTTCATCCTCTGCACGAGCCTGAAAAAGAACATACCCCAAGTCGCACATAATCAGCATCTCACGGCATCAGCAAGCTAATGAAAAAGTGAAGATTAGGCTTTCTTAAGTATGAAGACTCTGATCGTCCATACCTGAAGAACACAAAGAGAAGAGGACTTTAACCTCCATGTCAAAGACAAGAAGGAGCAAACACTTCGTACTATACCGAACAAGAAACAGGGAGAAAACTTACGACATTCTTCCGCCACTCGCATAACCTAATTACTTTCTCCACAAGATCAGGATTCACCTGCAGGTCAGGAGCTCTGAAATTCAGTGACCTGCCATGGCAGCTTTGAAAACGTACGCAAATTTTATAAAACACCTGCCCTATGCATCCAGATCAAAGACAACTTCCTTTCCATTTCACGATGAGAAACAGCCGGTAGTATCGACAACACGTCTCTCAAGTTCCAAACACAAATCTAACGATAAACCTACTTATACTTTCTACTAAGCTGCATAACAAATAACGTAACTCTCTTAGATGAACTCAAAACCTTCACGACTTCTATATCATTGCAAGAGATACATATGACACACATATATATGAGGAGACATGACGCACATCATTCAGGCAGACACAGTAAAAGAAGCTGGAAGAATTAGTCTACTGAACATCTTTCCAGCATGAGCATTAAACTAGATGCATCAGAGTATCTGAACTGAAGTAGGGAACCTGAGAGGGAAGAGGATATTCGTGTAGGAATCTAAAGCGCGAAATCATTGTGGAAGCTGTCGTAGCAGGGTCACAGACTATTTCCTTCTCAAAAAGTTGTAAGCAATTCAAATTTGAGCGACACCAGGTTAATTCCAAAAGATCTCCTTGAAGAGGTATCCCCAACTCTGTACTAAAATCTTTCATTGCACCTGACAACCAATATTCCTTATATCAATATGGTTTTCAATGCAAATAATTCTGTAATCAAATTGCAATGACTGTTGAGGTAAATCTTACAGACCTAAACATGATTGCGTCAACCAATCTGCCTTTGATGCAAAGTTGAAACGACTACAAGTTCAACCAACTGGAACCCAAGGTTTACATTGACACATGACAAATATATATGCATTTGTCTCTGAATGCCCAGATTGCGGTGTTTGGAGCTTGTTAGGAAGTAAAAGCTACCACTTACCAGAACTCTGCTGAGAAAGTTCCAGACTCAGCTGTTGGGCGATGTAAAGAAGATAATGGGCATCTGTACGTGCGTACTCTACCATGTCTTCTGTCAGCGGCCTTATACGCCAGTCTGCACGCTGCATCGAAGAATAAATCACCTACCTTAAACAGTTTACTTTATCCACTCATCTTAAGCTAGATGCATGATAAAATTAAGTTCTTATGCTGCTTTCGTATTGCTACGAAAGCAGCATAAGGATAGCGCTGTCAAAATTCTCAGAACCGAACAAAACATTCGCTAGTTAATGAAACACTTTCAAATTTGCTGAAAATTATTTGGAACAAATATTTACAACAACTACAGGCATGCACCCTGTGACCTCACCTGGTAAGCTTTGTTCGTGATCACACCGCAGTAGGTTTTCAGTAGATATGCAAGTGACCTTTGGGGCTTATCAAGTACAATGCATGCCTGACGATACAAAAAGAGAGTAATGAGAATAATACATAAATCCCGTATCGTGAAGATCCCTGACTCCATTTGAGATGAACAATCAATGACCATTTCTGACCGGATGTACTTTGACTGACGTTAATGTGAACTGCTAAACTTGAACACAGTTTCTAAAGTGAAAGAAGATCCAGAAAATGTAAAAAGGGAAATAGAGGGTAAGGCAGTTATCCATTCCTTCAAAGTAAAAGATAGGTCAGCTTTAAGAGGGCCTCACTTTTGCAGTGTCAAACATGTTGACAACGTACATATGAAAGTCTCTTTGCAACCACAATATATCACTATCTGCACCATGAAAAACCTGGTCAACAAGGGTGCCCATCAGAAATGTCGATAACTGGGTTACAGTTAAGTAGTACAAACAATGCATTCTTTAACTGCGCTGAATGCTAGATGATCCCCAATATTCCCACATATGCAGGCAGATATACAGAATGGTAATGAGATGAACTCCCATAGCTCATTCTTGTTTCCTGGGGATAGATACTTGCAATTGTAGAAGCATTTTTTACTGAATGCAATAAGTGTGATAGAAGGCACTCTCTAGCAGGAATAGACAATGCACGATAGAAGCGTCTGACGCAAATGTGCTCACTGAACCTTGAAGTGAGAACTTTTGTCCAAGTCTCAGATACGCGATGTAGATGCTAGTTAATTAGCGCTGCTTAATAGATGCAAGTCTCAAATTCTAGGCGATATTTCTTTGTCGATATTTTGACGTCAGTTGCACATATGCGCAGTATATTATGGTGAATGAAATCACCTTGCAAATAGCAGGATTGGAGAAAACATCACGCAAGATGCTCATGTCGTCATGCAAAGCGAGTGTATCCACCAAGTAATCTGTCTGTCGGGTCGAAATCTGCTCTGATACCCCGAAAATATACCAACAAATTCCAGGTCATCAGAAAGCGTAGGTCGAGACATGGAGAGCTAATCTGAGTGTCTTGTTCCATTTAAAAAAGATTATTATGATCCCAGAAGTACGACACTTAAACATCGATAACTCATCCAACGAGCATCAAATCGATTTCATCACACCTGAACCAGTGCAGTAAAGCCGTGGAAGGAATGAAAGCTGTGCTGTTCAGTATCCACCGCAAATTCGGTTTCATTACTGAGAATGTGAGCAAGAGCCTCCAGCTGCTCCGTCGTTTCCACCCACTCAAAGGGCCCATCCGTTCCAGCTGGCACTTCAGGGCTTTCTTGAAGTAAAAATGCCGGAGGAGGCTGCTCCAACAATGCACGTATTCTCTGCCCGTAAGGATGGAGAGACTCCTCACCTGCCATATGAACAGGCTTTCTTAATCATGAGCACCTCAACTTGAAGAATCAACGATGTTCCTCACAAATTCAGCTCGAAATGGACGATAAACAATCAATGCTGAGGGAAAATGTTTAAACCTAATAGAATCTCTCCGACTGGCCACTCTCAAGTGAAATGCAGTGAACGCAGAAAAGAATTTACATCCCTGAATGTCGGTACGAGTCTCGACCCGGAATTAAAACTGGCACCGACCATTATCCCTCTTGCACGACAATTAGAAGCTGGAATGGGAACGAAGAAGATCCGTCGACAAGCTCACGCCCTTTGACTCGTTCCCAAGTCAAAGCCAGTGTCGTATACTCTAGCCCAGGATTACGGAAAGACTACGCACCGCTTTCTTCAGTTCGAAGATGCACGAAAGGAGACAGGGAATTGTCAGCCAGCACACATCGGAAGCGTCTCTGGGGCTTCCCATCGAGCTGCTCGTCGGCAACAGGACGAGACGACGCATCGATCGCAGCTCGAACCTTCTGCCTCTTCTGCCTCCAGAAAAGAAAGCCCAGCGATATTACCGCCAAGCCCGAAACCACACTCACCGCCACCACTTTCTGGTCCACCATCTTTGCCTCCACGGGCCCGATCCTCCGTCCTCCACGAATCGCTCAAAATTACGCCATCCCTCGATCTGTCGAGGCCCCGCCCGAAAATCCAACAAATGTTTTCTTTTCTCGAGCTCGACTGCCCCGGAGCCTTCCTTCTTTGACTGGCACCGGGTCGGGACCGGGACCCGGGTTAGGTCCGTCCGATCGACGGCTGTGGCGTTTTCCTCCAGTACGGAAGGAGGAGCTGGGAGTCGTAGATTGGTGTAAGCGGTTAGCTTGACCCTTAGGACAAGTTAACCGGGAGCTAGCATGACCCACCGCCTGGACCTGGATCCACTAGGCTCGGAACAGGTGGTAAAAGCGCTCGCTTGGACGCCTTCAGCCTTCATGGGCCCGCGTCCCACGACTATGGTGACCCCATACCATGTGCCACTGTACTATGGTATGGTGACACCTACCATGCAGTGTTCCAGCGGGACAAGCACAGCGTTGCCAGTGGTTGGGCTCCACAGACAGGACTGTGCATGACCACGGCGAACGAGCGAATTTCTACATGGTAGCAGACGGGGGAACAGTAGGGGCACTATGCGAGATCCTCCTTGCAAAATCACAAATCGCAACAGGTCTCCAACATGATTGCTACCATGCACTGTAGTCCTTGGACTCTAAGCATTCCACCGTTATGAATGTCTTTATCATCGTATCCCACTTTATATTCCACCGAGAAGTTCATATTTATTCGTGCATCCCATATGTATCGCACCGGTATACGAGTATTTTATTGCACATTCCACCGTTATCTATCTTCTCTTATAAATTAGAATATATATATATATTCGACCGTATCATATACATCATATATACAAGTACATACCACGTGCTGCCCACTTCTATGTTCAATTTTTTGAGGTACAATATTTCTCGGCTCCATTTGGCCTCACCTTTCCGTTTGCCTTTTCACGCCGTTCTGCTTTGCTGTTCGTTTTGTTATCCTACGAAAGAGGTATGGCTTGGGAGGCACGTAGCGATAGTCGCTGACTTTTGGCATGACAAATGAGTGACCTCATTCGAGAGCCGCATACTTTGCCATCAGTCAGTCCTTAAAGCGCCTTGGAGCGAAAGCAGAGGGAGGGGGGCAGGGGGATGGGGAATGGGGGAGGAGTCGAGTACAGACTTTTGGTTTGGCTTCTTCTCCACGTTCTGTCGCTCAAATCGGAGCTGCGCACTTTTTCATCTTTTGATTCGATACTTTCTGTTGCGCAAGGTTTTAGCATAAGTGGGGCTGTACCTGAAGAGTCTTATGACGAGTCAGTCAGTTTGATTAAGTGAGCGGTGTCTGCAGGATTGTCCTCTCGTCGGGGGAGGCGCTGGCTGGGGGGTTAGGAAAAGAATAATAACATCGAATGCAGCTCCATTTTCATCGCCTTGTACGTTACGGTGGGCGATTATGCTCTCCAACTCACGCACTAAGTATAAGACGCTGGAGCTTCTTCGCTGCTCGACCCCTCGCAAAGCATCTCACTCCGGAAATATCTTCTCGAAATTCTCGAAATTCGAAATTCGCCCACCATCTCTTGCCAAACGGGGAACGATGCTCGAATGCAGCTGCAGACGATGACACGAATTGGGAAGGTGAGCTTCCGTAGCCCGTTCGAGCTCTCTAAAGAGCAAGATTCCGGCATGCATCGTTGCGCGTTGAGGCCAAGACGTGCAAAGCTTGGTGCAAACAAACTGCGCCACCAGAGTCGAACAAATTCAAGGGCCCCAGAAGCTCTAATAAAGCGTGCATCGACTGCCGCCTAATTGCGACCAGTTTATGCAAAACCGAATCATGGCCCTGACACTTGCTGCTGTTGCACTTCTTAAAGTGACCCTTCTTATTTTTAGCAAGATTCCTTGGGCGCGGAGCAGTTCGAGCTCAGATGCTGATCCAGTTGTACGTCCCGTGCAGGCAGACCTGATCTGACCCTTAACTGTATCGATGCACCTCACACCAAGTAACGTCTGCAATCTGGAGTGGCCGCCGATGGTTGCTAGACATTCCAACGAACAGGCTCGTACTGCAATATTCATTGTCATATTAAAATATACATATTCACAACCAGGTTTGACAATTTAATATGCGTTACATTCTCTCCGAATATGTTGCCATCTTCCTTCATGCAGTGAGCCACCTTTATTCAAGTCATCCTCATGTGAAGTTTTCTGGGCTGATTTTTAAACAAATCCTTGGCATGCGCATTTATCGACACTTTAGTCTCGGACTTTTTGGTCTTCTCTGGACTCTGGCTTCCATGGAGAAAAAATGGGCAAAGTGCAGCGAAACTTCCCATACAATGCTTCCGTTTCAACCATCCTCTACTCTACTGAATGCGTTAGATGCCTTGAATATGCATATCCACCAAATGGATTAAAAGCAGCCCCAGGATGAAATGGAGCAGGAGAGGACAACACACAATAAGCGTAAGAGCCACTGATCGAAAAGGTCGAGAGCGAGTGGGATTGGGCCGAAAGCGAAAGTGTCGATGGGAAAATTGTCGACGGACTCGTCTGCCCCACATTGATCTGCACCCCTTCTCCTGGACGTTGGAGGGGGAACTACGGCCGGTCAAACTTTGCATGTCGTGGAGGCGGTGAACGGGACAAAAGAGCGAGAGAATGTTTTGACTTACGTTGTTCCGCGGGGCCTGGACAGCACGTCGACGTGGCCAGCCTACTGGAGCAGACGGCAGAAAAATCCGACATCCGACGTCCGACCTCCGGTCCCTTCAACAACCATCAGTCCCCAGCGGTTCCTCCAACTTTCGGCTGGTTCGAACCTCGAGCGCCACGCCTCAAGGCACCTCTCCTCGGGTTGACTCTGCCCACTGACCTAAACTTCGATCGGTAGACCGGGAAACGACGGTAAGGTGGAAGAGAAGTCCAGGTACGTGGCGGCGTAGGAACAACCGTTTGACCGAGCTTGACCGGGGTTCGGCCCTTGCTGGCTTGACTTGGGGTTTAGAGTAGTGCATCGGGTTGCGCGAGGAGGTCTGGGGGCGATTTGAATGAGCGAAGCTTCGCTTTCGACTGAAGGAGCCTCTGCCAGGGGCCGATCATTGATGGCGTCCCCAAGGTCGCAGGACCCTGCGAGAGCAGAATCTGGGCGACGCCCGGCGCGGCCCAAGGCAGGGCGCGTCGAGGGCGAATCGGCCTGGCAGGATTCGGGAATCCGGAGCGAGGAGCTACCGTCCAGAGAAACCCCGAGACCCTTTTAAATGTCCACCTTCGAAAACGCGTCTACACGTTCCCCATGGGCCTCCTGGCTCATAAAGCCACCTGCCGCCCACTTTCCGTCGCCGGTAACCCCCAGCTCCCCGGAACTGGGAACCCCGTACACCCCCCAGCAAGCCGGTCCGTTGCGTCTACCGCCTCAAACGTCCGGCAAATCGCCGTACCGCGAAGGTTCACGGCATGGGACGTGAAGGAACATGTTGCAGACAGCTCAACGGCATCGGGCCGAGGCGAGCCCCGAGGCCGGCCGCCAGGCCTGCCAGACCGCCAGCACGACGGTCAGGCGGAAAGGCCAGGACGGGCTGCCCCGGCGCCAGATCCAGTTCATTCCATTCCTACTTCCATGGTCCGACACGCAATGCGTCGTAGGTATAAAAAACCGGATGTCGGGCCTCCGGGTCATGAATCGGACAGAGACAGTCGCGTCACGAGCGGGCGGGCGACCGAAGGTCAACCTGCAGTCGTGTCGAGGAGAGGAGAGGGGAGACGAGACGAGAGACGAGAGCGCGGGCTGGCGGGCGGGCAGGCGGTCGGCAATAAGTGCTATATGTATCGAGGGGGCGACCTCGATAGGAAGAACGTTGGCCAGCGCCGTAGAAGAACAGCCGCGGACAGAGGGCGAGAAAGTGATCGAGGAATCATCGAGAAAAATAAGAGGGCGCGCGGAGCGTCGAGGCAGGCCCATATACGGGCGGGCAGATAGCGACGGGGGGCCGGGGGGGAGATGGCGGGGACGCAGCGGGGTTCTTCGCGATCCCCGAGCTCGGAGCGGACGACGCCCGTGCGCATGTCGCCGCGCGGATCGATCGACGAGAGCTTCGATCTGCTGACAGGCGCGTTTCCCCATCCTTTTGTCGTCGCGGACGCTGCGGCAGCAGCAGCAGCAGGAGGATTAGGAGCAGCAGCGAGGAGCGAAATCGGAGCAGGAGCGACGTCGTCGACTTCCCCGGCTCGAGGCAACCCTAATGGCGCAGGAGTTGACGCGGTCTTCGGCAATCCCGCAATGGTGTTGCAGCAGCAGCAGCTTCAGCAGCAGCCGATGGATTTGTTGACAGGATTTTACCAGCCGCAGTCGCGATCGCCGCCCCCGAATCTGGTGGTTCCAGCGCCCGTGGCCGCGAAGCAGGATGCGTGGAAGCGAGACGGGCAAGTGCATTCGTCGCCGGCCGCAGGAGGGCCCAGCAAAGAGTACTTTGCCGCGACTCCAATTTCCCCTCACTATCCGTTTGTGGAGAATGCCGTGCCCTCGCGTGCTTCGTATTCTGTGTCGCCTCCTCCTCCTGCTGCTGTGATCCCTAGAGTCTCCGATGCGGCCACTGAATCGTCCAGTCCCGGGCATAGGAACAGGTCCGGTCCCGTGGATGGCAGTTTTGCGAATTTTTCCTCCGTAGCCGAGAATATGTCCAACTTAGATTTCGGCGGCAGATCTCATAGCTCAGGCTCGGCTGGCCCGCTGCTCTCGCCGTCGCCGCAAACTAGATCTCATAGAAGTTCCTCGGGGGGTTCACTGGCGTACGCCAACTCCGTCAATAATCATAAATCTGGTGGCTTTGTGAATAACTCTTACAGCGCAGATTCGGCCTATAAAGGTGAATCGATCGCCAAGCAATCGGCCTCGATGCCTTCAGGAATTGGACTTGAAAGGCTGCAGCAAATGCCTCCGCATGCGAGAGCGGAAACCTCCCGTGCCCCAACGACCCCTCTCGATGTAAATTATAGCACCCCGGTCCGAGGAGCTCCCAGCGCGCCTGCGTACCAGATTGAAACGACGAGGAGGAGCGCGTCGGAACCGAAATTGTATCAGCGAGCGCCGTCCTTGAACATAAGTTCGAGGAGCCAGGGCAAGGAGCCCGCCGCCGTTATGGATCCCCGGACCCCGACCAGTGCCTCCAAGACAATTGTGCACGACGAATTCGTGGGTGCCATATCCGGAAAAGGCATCTACCGAGCTCCCAGACGCGGCGCCGTGCATCCGACTCGACCGGTGTCGCTCGAGCTCAGGCCCCATCCGCTCCGAGGAGCTCCGCCGAACCCTGTGTCCCGACTCACGTGCTTCGCCTCGTCCGTCTGGGCTGCGTGCGAGCTGGGGCTTATGGTGTGGGAGGTGGACCACGCGACGGGCCGCGGGTGCGCGGGTACTGGCAACAATTTAGGAGACGAGGATGCGGCATCGTACGAGTTTCTGAGATTACAAGGATCGACAACCGTGTCTATGGCAGCCGACGTTGCCAACGAGGTTATATGGACCGGCCATCGAGATGGCAAAATCAGGCTCTGGTCGGCGCGGCCGTCCACTGACTCCGACTCTTCTTCCTCCTCTTCTTCTTCTTCCAAGCGGGTATCCAGATCCGCCAGCCTCGTGTTCCAAGCCCATCGCCCGGCCGTCACGGCTCTTGTGATCACGTCTTACGGTACTGTTGCAATGTACACGCCCGCTTCTGTCCTTGTGGAACTTGAAACAATGACATGTCCGATGCAATCTGTTTGAACGCTGCGTCCATCCGACATGCCGGGTTTCTGGCTTGTAGCCGAGCCAGTCTTAGAGTCCTTACGGTAACCAATTCTATGAAGCCCAGCGGTTTCATCCCGCGAATCACTGTCGATCTTACGTCGTGCTGGCCCAAACTGCTCCTTGCCTGCGCCTTCAGTTTTGAGCTCGATGCTTGAGCCGTGTTGCCAGACGTCCCTCCAGTGCACATTGTAGGAAGGATGACGCTTGTAGGGACTCTGATCAATTCTGGTGCACTTGTTTCTGGTTTTGCCCCTGTTCCAAGTCTGAGATGCAGGCGTTTTTTGACTGCTTGTAGGTGAGCTGTGGGCTGGATTCGATAGTGGTGAACTCAAGGCCTGGCCATGGGAAGCCGTGGCGAAAGCAATGTCCGGAGTCGGTGACGGAGCTTCGTACATGGAGAAATCTTACATCGAACTTAGAATTCGAAATGTAGGAGTCGGTCCCAACGGCCCAATCGCTCCTGAGGTTCGGTTCCTTGTTGCAGATCATGCAAACGGGAGAGTGTGGTGTGGTGGAGCACAGTACATCGCTATTTGGTAAGTGCCGTCTGAAGTAATATTGGATACTGTTAAGTTCTTGCTTGTACTAGCTGATCCTCAAAGTTTGTGCTACACATTTTGTAAAGTTTCTGGATAAGTTCGCATGGCATAGTTCATTGGGAGCTGATTCTTAGATCGGTTCTGGCTGCTCTAATTTGGGACCTCTTGAATCATCAATTGCATAAATGATTCTACAACTGAGGGACGATCTACAAGGTCTGTCTACGATAGTTCAGTCAGTGACGGATCGGCTCAACTATCACCTTTTCAAGGCAGGTTTTGCAATTTTCTTCGTAGCTGAGAGCATAGATCATTTGCAGGTTTTCTGACCTTTGACGCTTCTTCGCTACGACAGGGACGCGAGGACTCGGGACTTCGTGAGGATGTTTGGCGGACCTTCTGGACAAGCCGACCTTACTAGCCTTGATGCCGGATCACCAGGGAAGGAAATTTTATCGGATGAAGACCTGAAAGTTGGCTATGCCAAAGTGGGAAAGAAAGAGAAGGGGGGCTGGCTGCAACGCTCCCGTAATGCGGTTATGGGAGCTGCCGATGCCGTGAGACGAGCAGCAAGTGGAGGAGGTCAAAATGCGGATGATGGTAGGAGGCTTGAGGCTCTGGTGGCTGCAGCAGATGGTACGATGTGGGGAGGTTATGGGAGTGGCCTTCTAGTTCAGTGGGATTATCAAGGTTACCGACTCCAAGAAATCTTGCACAGAAATGTAGTTATTCGGAGCATGTGCCCTGTCGGAAATCGACTGTGGGTTGGATATGCCGATGGGAAGGTACAAGTTCTGCCCCCTGGAAATGCTGCTACGAATCCAATCGGCGGCTGGCAAGCACATCGTCTTTCTGTAATACAGATGGCTGTCTGTGATGCTTACGTTTTCTCACTGGGATCAAATGGATCTATTCGAGGTTGGAATGTTACATCCCCTGATCGCAATTTGGATGGGATGCTGAAGACAACAATGAGCAACAGAGCGGATTCATATACTCGTCAGCGAAATCTCCTTGTCCTCGCGGCTACTTGGAACACCGCACAAGAACGAGCCTCTGTACATTCTGTGAGAACTTGGCTTGGGATTGATCCCCGGTCAGACCAACCACCGGAGGCCAGTATTGTGGTGGTTGGGCTGCAAGAGGTGGAGATGGGTGCTGGTGCAATTGGCATGGCCGCAGTGAAGGAGACGGTGAGACCCTTTCTTTTACACTGCTTGTACAGATGCTGACTTGACTTTGAACGAACCGATGCTGTCTTGAAGGTAGTTGATAAAGCCTTTTTTGTGTTACTGGAATGGGTATGTTTCACCTGAGTTAAGTAGGCTCTCAATGAAGTGTCCTCTTTGGCTGACACATTATTTCCTGCAGGTCGGTATGGGACTGCAAGAGAAAGGCAGTCAAACTGGTCAGTGGTGGCTCAGCCAAATTGATGCTTCCTTAGGTGAAGGAAAAGAGTATGAACGTGTTGGATCTAGACAGCTGGCTGGAATGCTAGTTGGAGTGTGGTACGCGGGAATGAAACACCTGATTTCCCTGAAGATAATTCATAGAATTTTGCTTTCTCAACTTTTAGAATTTTGTGGATTAGGACGAAAGAGTACTGTTCCCAAACTAAATGTTAGTTGTGAATTACTAAAGAATTGTGATCGCACCTATGGTAGTATTTGCTTTGTGACCGGGAAATTTAAGCATACAATTCTTGCTGTGGTCACAAACTAACGATTTAGACGATATAAGAGTACTGAACTGAAGTTTAATTCAACAATGGCATGCAGGGTGAGAAAACACCTATTGCCCTATGTAGGAGAAGTCGAAGCAGGAGCTGTGGCGTGTGGTTTTGGACGTGCTCTTGGTAATAAGGTAGGAGCTCTTCTGTAAAATAAATCTGCTGACCAGTTCATGTAGGAAACATTGTTTTGTCCTCTGCTGCTTTATAAATATATATGAGGTGCTGTTGTGATGTTTAAGAGTGACAACTTGAATGAGCGAACTGTGAGAGTAAGTTGTACTTGACTTTTGATTGCCTATTCGCTGTACAGGGTGCTGTTGGAGTGAAGATGATGATCTTCAGACGGACTATCTGTGTTCTGACATCCCACCTCGCAGCACACATGGAGCATGTTTCACGTCGGAACTCTGATTTCGAGCACATTTACAACCAGATGAGCTTTGGACGTTCCATGCGGATAAATGTTACAGCTGCCGCAGCAGGTGACTTTCCACCGTCAGCTATGCGTATAAGATGTGCTTGTGACCAAAGTACCCTGAGATGGGCGGTTAATTTGTCTTGGAGGTCTGTCCTTATGAACGGGTATATTGTGCTATATTTGTTGAGTTCTTGTGCTTCTCTTCTGTGAGACACAGTCCGTTTATGTGAATCGAAGCCCTGATAGTCAATGAGAGATTTAACAGTGAGTCAAGAGCAAACCTGCGGATCAAGATCTGCTTTAACGTAGGAGACATTTTTTTTCTATACCCGTATTGATGTTACCTCAAGAGATTTATTGAAGTGAAGGCAACAATGTACAGTTGGAGTGATCTCTTGGTTGCTTTTCCTTATGGTATCATTCTTTCAAGTTTTATCCCTAGATTCCAATTCTGGTCACATGTACTTGAATAACAGATCACTAACGCACAGCTCGTTGCTCAGGTGTTACAAACGCGGTACAAAATATGCTACGGGGTGGCCATACCGTAAGACGAACATCTGTTACGGTCGATCAGGATTATGTTGACAGAGACGGGCCACTTTCACCGGTCTATACTATCTCATGTTCTTGTGATTTCTTTTCCAGTTTTTCCTCCATAGTTATATACTTCAATCCACTATGTGTCAAGGTTGCAACAGTGTCGTGAAGAACATGAACGTGACCTGTTTGGAGAGACAAGTAGGAGCTGTTTTTGTAACTTGCTTAGGCTTCTTTCGGTCCTAGTATCTATCTGGCTAACTATCTGCATTATCTGTTTTATGCACGGCTAAGATTAAGCAATATAATTGTGCAGGATTCCGATCCTACCAGTGACGACGCCCCTGAACTAGCGGAGGCGGATTTGTTGATCTGGACTGGGGATTTGAATTACCGGATTGACAATATGTCTTACGAAGAGACAATTGGCCTCATCAAGAAGAAGGCTTATGACACCCTTCTTTCGGCTGATCAGCTAAGAATTGAGATGGCTAGCGGACGGACCTTTCATGGATTGCGAGAGGGCCACATAAAGTTTCCTCCCACATACAAATTCGATAAGGGTTTCACAGGTATGTGACACGATTCTCCTGCCCATATTTTTCCCCATATTCCATTCGATCTTTTGAAGCAGAGCCCTCTGATTTAGTCTGCGTTTTTCATCGTGTACTGTGTTCCTAGCTTGATTCAAGCAAGGAAGCTGAAAATGTATCTGTGACTATATGTTTGAGGGGGCCAAATTGGGCCAAGCTTGTGATCATGTGATGTATGCTTGAAAGGAGATAAAAGGCATGTTTCAAATGGTCATGTCAGGCAGCCCAATCTGCCCTGATGTGTGTAAGTTGCATATTATGTTCTCAATCTTGTTAGCTTCCACCGGGTATATGAACACATCTAAGAGTACACTGTTACCATCTCTGGGTGTGGGACTGAAAGATCACTCTTGTGTCTATCATTCCACTAAGCAAGATGTATATTGTCGAGTTTTTCTGAATCCTTCAAAATTATTTGAGCAGTATACGACTGAAAGATCACTCTTGTGTCTATCATTCCACTAAGCAAGATGTATATTGTCGAGTTTTTCTGAATCCTTCAAAATTATTTGAGCAGTATACGATACTAGTGAGAAAAGAAGAATACCGGCCTGGTGTGATCGAGTGCTGTTTCGAGACAGCTTCGACAATGGCACAGATGCAAGTCGCGGCATCAAACTTACCAGGCCTATCAAGGCTACGGTGGTCAGGTATGAACTTACAATCTTACAGCAAGTCTCGTTTATCAGACAAATTTTTATTTTCAGGGATCGTCTGGACAGATATTTTTAGACATCTCTTGCAAAGTTATTTGCGTGACTTATTATGGCCCTTGAGAAAAGAATTGAGTCCTCCATGTCCTCAAAATGGAGATCAACTTCTGACTTGAATCTGTCATAGGATTTGATCAGTCTTCTAAAGTGGTTATTGTCGAGTGACGACAGCTACGAGGCAATCATGGAAATTGAAGACAGTGATCATAAACCCGTTCGTTGCCTACTCAACGTGGACCTTTCTGTTATTGATGAGAACGCCCGCCGCCGTGAATATGGGGACGTTATGCGTGATGCACACATTCAAAGTTGCATCGCAGAACTCGGCTATATACCCGACACAACGTTGAATACTAACAGGGTACTTCTGAATGATGTTGACACATCAAATCTGATCTTAAAGAATTCAGACAGACAATATCGCCTATTATATCTTGTACACTGCGAAGGTCTGCCCGCAAGAGGTCCTTGTCCGTGTGGCCAACACAGCACAAAAGACTCACCTAGACAAAATGCTGGTTTCAAGGAACAATTTCCAAGGGCTGGATATGGCTTCCCGCACTGGATAATGGTATGTGTTTCTCGCAGTGTATGTATGGTCGTCAGACTTGCAAGTATGGTAGCCGTGATGTTCTTGAGAGATGAATTGTGCTCTATGCTGCAGCCAATACTTTGATGAAGTAACTAGGTATCAAGTTGCTGCTGATTGTTCTTATTTGCGTTTCTCGATCTGCTTTTGCTCATGACCGATTACGCACAATATCGAGGTGAGTCAAGATTATGATGTAAATACATTCTTGTAGTGCACATGGTTTCGTTAAGCTGAACAAGCTGAATGTTGGCAGGTTTCACCGGCTGCGGGAGTCGTTGGACCGGGTGAGTCTATACCCATAAGGATCAAATATGTTATGAGAACAGGAGGTAGTGATCAGCAAGACAAGGTTGTTGTCCTGGTGGTCCGGTGGAAAGGTGCTCTTTCTTCTAGATACAAGCAGCACAGAGTTTGTGTTTGTCATGGACCATCTATCCGGAGTCTTGGGAAGGAGAAAGAGAGCTCGAAAATACGTTCAAACGATCAGCAACGGCGGCTTTCTCCTAGAGAAAAGGAACCACAGCCGTACACTGGAAGACCAGATTATGCATCCTCGAGTTTCACTCAGAGTACACCGGATCTTTTGCTATGAGATCAAGGACGAAAGGCTGTTGTTACTCAATCATGTTCCGTCAATGGGTAGAAATTCACTTTTTGTCCAAAAATCCAACAAACCTATATCTTTGTTTTGCTGATCCAAGATTCATCTATATCGATTTTTGTGGGTAGGTTCGCGATCATTTCAGACTAAAGCCTTTTGATGTGTAGAACATTCTCAAGACCTGTGACAGCTCAAGGGCACTGCTCAATCTCATCTTAGCTTTCTCCAAACGCAGATTGTCAATACTGTCCACCCTTGCCCTTCGCTATCATTGACTGACATTCCTGTCACTCACTAAAAATCCTGGAACTTGCCAGATGTCACGGCTTCTGTGTCATAAGATGTTGCCCTCGCAGCCCTTCACCTGCACAGATTGAAGCAGGAGCTGCTGTCAGCTGAAGTCGCTGTCTGTACATTTTCCAGGTAGGTCGTCGCAGTTAGTACATGACCGGAGTTGTCGAGGGCCCGTAGTATGACAAAAGTTCATTGAAGGAGAGGGCTGTATTCGGGTTTAGTTACGTGGCCTATGTCTCTCAGGGCTTGTTGCCCATGGCTTACAACTATGTAGGTCTTGAGATTTGGTTGCACTGTCTGTACAACAGTGGTCTGTCATGGTCAAAATTTTGCCTCTACTGGATGTCACATCTACAGCAAGATAGCTCCGACTGAGTGCAATATTAACGGCGATTTGGGCTTCATCCTTGCAATAGTGTGATGGTTCCTCATCTGGAGCTGTAAGGCGATGATGGATGTCTATTCAGGTCATATCTTTGACACCAAAGGTCTCATCACTGCCTCAATCAGTTGTGCAGAGAATTTGTCCTGAAGATATGGGACTTCTTGATACCAATCTCCGTACGGTTCATCGTTGTGATCCTATGTATCAAATTCATCACAACTAAGCAGAGGAGCAAGATTCTATAAGCAGATATCGTATCAGCATCTCATGACAAGGTAAACATCTAGTCCTGGTGGAGACGATTTTTTATCTCTTTTTTCTTTACAAATGGTCGACTAGAAAAGTGGCGTTTGAAAGTGACTTTGTCTGTCTCGTTACTCCAAATGATATGTTTCGAATGAAACATTGCTCAGGTATGCTCTCTACGGCGGCAGAGACGGGAAGGAACAGATGGAGGCTTTTGTTTCGAATTGGCGAGGACATGTACATTTCCAGAGGTTGGGGAATGGAGGCGTGGGCTCGAAGTAGCATCTATATAGTCAAGTTTAAAGTCTTTACATGATTCTCCACGTAGTGACTGGATGCATAGAGCAGTACGAAACGTATCACTTGAAATAGTAATTGGTTATCTACCAGGAAAGACGTGCTTGAAGATTGGCTCAAGCACTCATTACAGATTCTCACCTTTGAAGGTGTCCATAGGTTGATTCTTAATTTGACAAGGGCACAACTCTGTGCGGAAGTCAGCAATGCAAGAAGAAATAAAGTTTAATATCTAGAGTACACAACATCAAGTATCATCACTCAATGATTGACGAAATTACCCTCACAGACTTCTTTTCTAGTGCTTTCAACATCGCATCAGACGTGTGCCCCGTGTAGAAGCTAATAGTCTTCTCTTGTATGGTATGTATAATTTCTTTGCAGCCGGTGCTGATTTGTGTGGGTAACTGAATAAGTCGGGAGCAGCGTGCACGCGTCAAATAGCGTTGAACATATAGGGTCCTAAAACCTAGAGACATTATCTTCCGTTTGTTTCATTCGCGGATAACAATTTGAGAACGACATTTCAACCTAGTTCGTTGTTAAGGCTTGTTTTTGGATGAAGCTGTGGCTGTGACCTAATAAACTCGGTAGGTAGTGAACATTGTTTGTGGTTGTTCATCAAGGACAGATCTACTTGTAAGAGGCTTAAGCATGGTTGGCGAGAACGAGTGACTACAGATTGCATACACCGAGATAGTGTGCCATGTGTGATATACTGTGGCTACACAACTGCAATTGCAGATCTAGAGAGCAATTCTGGAGTGAATTGAGTGGCCGTCTTAGGAGCAAAAATTCTAATCTCAGAGCATTAGCTCCAGCAGGTGGATCCTGTACACCCGGATGATCTGCAAGAGCACAGCGTTATGAATCTGCAAGCTTGTGTCGTAAGCTAGACCATGCCTGTAGAAGTGACATAATGGGCCACTGCTGATCGGTTATTACAGAAACGGTTCGTAGATCTTGTGCTTACCGCGCAGTTTCTAGAAATTGTTTAAACGAGAATTAACTAGAATTAAGTCGTAGTCATAACAAGATAGAGTAATAATATACAGAAGTCATTCAACAATCTTCCTTTAACTCGTGTTAAAAAATCTCACTGATCTTTCTAATTTATACTATTATTCACATAATAAGATAAAATAATAATATATAGAGCTAACTCAACAATCTATCCTTAACATGTGTTAAGGAATCTCAATAACCTCTCTAATTTATATTATTATTCCAATAACATGATAGAGTAATAATATACAGAGACAATTCAACAATCTTACTTTTAATTTATGTTAAGTAATTTCACTAATCTCTCTAACCTATTTCATTACTCCCATAACATGATAGAGAAATAATATATGTAATAAACTCAAGAATCTCATCTTTAACTTGTGTTAAATACTCTCAGTAAACTCTCTAATCTGTATTATTATTCCACGGGAGATTCTAGACGTAAATTTAACACAAGATCACTCTTAAACGTAAGTTAACTAGAACCAAGCCGTAGCCATAACAGGATAGAGTAATAATATACAGAGTTAACAAAAAACCTGCTAGTATAGAGGGAACATAAACCTTATCACTTACATAATTACCCCGCGAGAAGTTCTAGAAAAAATTCTAACATGAAAAGATGTAAAGAGATGACTGAAGATACTATGCTAGAAAAAATTTCTCGTGCTCCCTATGCACAAGTTGCATAGTAGCACACTGTCGCATGAAACTCTCAAAGGTAATAATTTTGGAAAGTTTTAACGCATCAATTAGATTGAGTTTATCGTCAATCTTGACCAGCTCAATCGTTTTCTCAAACATTGTTTGTCTAATAAAATGATGTCAATGTGCTTCACTCTGCTATCCATGATTTAGTTTGTAGCCACATGTAAAACACTCTGGTTATCACAATGAAGATTGACCACGTCTTATGTTAATACCATTTCCATGATAAGCTTATTCAACCAAATAGCTTACTTTGCCGCTTCTACTACTGCCACATATTTATCTTATGTTGTTGACTAAGTCATCCACTTTTGCAAGGTAGATCTTCAACTGATGTTTCCATCGCTAAGTGTAAACATATATCCAGTTGTAGATCTTTTTTTGTCTAAATCTTGTCTAAGTTCAACATCAACATAGCCACACAAGTACTTGGCATTGTGTAATAATCCATTAAACAATAAGCCATAGTCCACAGTACTCTTAAAATATTTCAGAATTCATTTCACTGATTTCTAGTGAACTTTCTTGGATTCTACATATACTGTAAGACCGGATGTTATAAGTGTGAAATAGAACTAGAAGTAACCAAGAAATTAATCATGACTAACTTAGTTATGACTACATTCAGCAAGTTGTGATTAAATTTAACTAGATTTAACTAAATTTATCAAGTTATAACTATGTCTATCAAGTTATATCTATGTTTAACTATAATGTTTATACTTGACAAAATAACTAAAGAAATTTTAGAAGATTTGAGTCAACAATTCTATTTTGTCTTGTACAAAAGTATAGATTCCAAGAGAAAAAACTTTTGACATCATGTTTAGTTTTGATTGGATTGACTAAGTAATGAACAATTCATTGACTAAACGAAGTCTTAAGTTGACTTATTGGCAAGTGGAGGTTTTTGAAATTGAAAATGCACAAATGGCATGTCGCCAACTCAATCTAGGTATGGGTAAACATCTAGAAAATTTAGTAGGCCAATGACATGGTATTGATAACTAGTCAAACTTACTATGATTTATTTTTATGAAAGTAAATTAGATAGAAATTACCATTTGCTACCATATGATCTTTTCAAATAGGGTATAGAAAGAGGTAAGGAAAAGCCTTCAAAGCAAATTTAGAGAGCTCATATGTAAAGACTTGTGTCATATATGAAAGAGTGACGTTTTTCAGCATTTGGAAGTGTCGATGTGTGGATGAATTTGAATGATGAAATGAAAGAATGTGTGAGAGTATGTTTGGAACATGATCATAAAGGATAATCCTAGTCTTTTAGAACCATGATAAGCTACCGCAAAACCATTTGAGATTAAACTAAGTGAGATTCAACACGGAGGTTGCAATATCTGCTCATCTTACTCATTGCTAGAGCAGTATCATGCCTAATGCACACCATCAAACACATGAAATTGCCAATAATTTATTCATAGTAAACACATTACATTCTTTCTTTCTCCACAGCATCTCTAGAACATTGAGTTGCGTAGAGTTGAAAATATGTTGGTAGAGGAGTACAAACTACTTTCAAATCGGTCATATTGAAACGATCAAGTATACGCTGAACATAGCTTCTTCTGTTCAAAATTCCTATAAATATTCATGTCTAATATACTTTTCAACTCCTCTATATTCTTATATTAAATGTAGACTTCAGTGATTCTTGCATTCATAGACATCGGATTGGTTCTTTGCCAAGATGAACATGTTGTCAACGTAAAGTACTAAAATGATGAGATTGAACACCTAATCATTCATCTTTTTCATGTAGACACAACGATCATACACATTTCAGAAAAAATTTTATGCCTTTATAAACTCATCAAATCACATATTTCATTATCTAAGAGCTTGTTTTAGTCAATATATTGATTTCAACAATCTACAAATCACCTCTCTTGGTCTTTGACCTCAAAGCCAACTAGTTGTCTCATGTATATCTCCTTCTCTAAATATTCATAAAGAAAGCTTGTGATCGCATCCATCTGGTCCATAACAATATTGAATATTGCGGCCAGTGCAGATATCAAACAAATTGTAGTATACTTTGCTACAAGCAAGAAAACTTTGTTCCAATTCACAAACTTCTCCTATGTGAAACCTCTAGCTACCAACCTGGCTTTGAAGATTATCGTCTCATCTTTTGATGGATTGTCTTTCAGCTTGTACATCCACTTTGAGTCAATTAATGTCTGATCTTTAGGAAGCTCAACCAACTTCCAAGTCTTGTTGTCAATCAATGATTGCATCTTTCGCTCCATAGTAGCATTCCACTCAAGTTTGTTGACCAAAACTTGAGCTTTCTTGTATTAAAAAGTTTCACCTTCTTCCAAGATCAACGCCATATCATCCTCATCCTCAAAATTAAGGTCACGATCTTTGAGATTGGATGACTTGGCCCATACATCAAATCTTTGATGAGCTATACTACGACGTTGTGATCTCCTAATAGACTTTTTTGTTTGATCTCTATTGTCTGGCATTGTTGCAATAGGCTCAATGATAACCTGCTCTTGTAGTTCTTGTTCTCCAAAAACTTATTCCACATGCATCCATGCTCTTTCTTGTGACATATCATTGGTGATAGAATGATCAAACTTCCTCACAACAACATACTCATCAGTATGAGTAGACTCAAAACTCTCAACTCTTTCAATAAGCCAAATTCATTTTAAAAACATCTCTATTTACAACCACCTTAAGGTCAATTGAATCCCATAGTCTAAGTTCTTTCACTCCACTAGCATATCCAAGATAACGATATTTCTTGGATGTATAATCTAACTTAATCTTGTGCTCCTTAGACGAGAGAGAATAAGTTGTACAACCAAAAACTTTCAAACGACTATAAGCTGTCATCCGTTTATGCCTCAATTCAAATGGCGTTAAGAAATTGATTGCACTAGAAGGTAAAAGGTTTACTAAATAGATTGGGATGTTAATAATTTTGGCCCAAAATTCTTCCGGTAAACCTGATTAGCTTAAAATACTTTGCACTTTCTTTAACACTGTTTGATTGAGTTTTTCAAAAGAAATGATTTGTTGTGGAGTATAAACCGTCCTAAAATGGCGAGTATTTCACTCATGTTTACAATAGCTAAGAAATTACTCATAAATATACTTGTCACCAATATTTGATCGTAGATATTTCACCTTGTGTCCAATTTGACTATCAACTTGAATGCGTCAACTTTTGAAAGTTGAAAACGTCTCAGACTTGTGGATAAGAAAATATACTCACAGATACTTGGAGTAGTCATCTATAAAATAGACATAGTACAACTTTCTTGAAAGTGAGCCAAAAAGAGAATGTCCCAACACGTCACTATGTACATACTCCAATATCTTTGTAGATATATGAGTTCCAATGTCAAAAGCTCACCTATGCTAATTTTCAATGATGTAATGTTCACAGAATGCTAAGTCAACTTTACCCAAATCTTGAAATAGCTTTTTTACATCAAGAAAAGACATGTACCAATCAATTGTATGGCTTAAATCGGAATGACATACATGAGACATTTCAACACGAGATCTGGATAAGTGAACTTCTTCACAAATAGTGATGTACTCTAACAAGTATAGATTATTGTGCTTGTATCCTTCAATAACAACCTTCTTATCAAATGATCTAACACGCCCTGTCTTAAACTCCACTTTAAACCTTGTGAGTCCAATACTCCAAGAGAGATAAAGTTCTTTCTCATGTTAGATATAAATCTAACATGGATCAACGTACGGTTAATACCATTAAACATGCAAATCTTAACACCTTAATTTTGTAGGATTGATAATTATTTATAAAAATTGAACCAATAATACAAAAATAAATACAAAAGAACTGTCTAATGTAACGATTGTGATAAGAACAAGCAATGTTTGGAATTCATACATCAACAACAACTTTTGATGAACTACAGAATGCAAATCTCTTGCATCATATGACGTTTTTTGTACAAATTATTTTCATTGGTATCAAAATGCTTTGCAACATTTGCCACTAAAGTAGAAATCGTACTTGTCATCCAGAAATACTTCATGATGTGGTCTTTCTTACTATATTATCAACAAATAACATTCTTCCTGTCAAATGATTGAGCCATAAATTGGATTCTTATTCGCTTAGAAAATCTTGATCTCTAACTCTTCAATTTTGAACGTCGTGAATCATTGATATTCCTCAAGTTGTGATTGACCTCAGATCATAATGAGTATTCTTCTAGAAGTGGATGGAATGAAGGGGAATAGCATTTACTGCTCTACCGCGTCCGTTGGAAGGGTACTTACAACCTCGTTGTAAATGAATGCCGTGTTCTAATGATGAAGAAGAATCTTTGATAGCGTCTGATAGGTAGACAACAATGAATTGAATAGATGCATTGACTTCTTCGTGTCAAGAAATTTCTCCCCTATATTTTGGAAATCCACCAAGAAATTTCCAAAGGCATGAATATGGTATTGGATTCTTGTGACAAGCACATATTGAATTGTAACAACCGCATGTAACTGTTCATGACATTTGAGAGATTCTTTGGATGGAATCGTTACTGAAGCGTATGAAACAACTTTGACACTTCAGAGTACTCATCAACCTCATTGAGTATGGAAATTTTTAAATATGCCAACACCTTGCAAACTGCATAGTACTTAGCAGCAGTCCATTTAGTATCATTTATGTTAAGAGTTTTTTCTCCTAGTTATATAGTGACATCCATGGATCGTAACTTCACTTTTATCTGTTTTTCCAAAGCAAATAAACACCTTGGACATTGAAAGTTATTATGTCATACCAAAAATCGCCACCGACCTATTGCCCAACCAGCTCTACACGTCAAAAAGTAAAGATAATAGCAACCTTTGAGTCAAATTTCTCCTTTTAAGTCATTGTTCAACTCCTGAAAAATATCAAAATGCACTATTTGCGACAAGAGTTTTCCAACGATAGCCAATTTGTCTATACTTTGATGAAAAAATATTTTTAAGAAATATTTATGATGAAATATTTTGTCATCATCGTTCGTCCGTTGATTGCGTTGCCCTGCCGACCACGGTTGGCCTGGTTGATCATGATGATGATAGAGTGTTGCACGACTATCCTTGCTTTGGCCTAAGTGAGTTATGTGAATCAGAAACAAACCACATCCACAAACTTTCAAAGAACTTTTAAATTCCCGTCATCTTCAAAACTCCGAACCTGAAAACTTGACATTGAGAAGAAACTCACACGCTAAACCAAAACTTGCTATCATACCAGTTCTAACAATAAAACTCGAGATCACAATGATCAAACCAATAAAACGAAAGACAGAAGTATAATGTGGTTCAACCTCAAGGGCTACGTCCACGGAAGAATACACGCATGAGATTTTAGTACTTCAAATGAAAACACAACAATGCTTGAATCAATCATCAAGGTATATATATATATATATATCCAACATATGTGACCACTCTCAACTATAAATAGCTACACATGGAGTTACTACTTAATCAGAGTTAAACTCAATAGTTTAGGAATCCATTAAATATTTAGCGGATCGTTTGGCAGATAGTATCATTGATGACTACTTTTCTCCAAATTCAAATATTGGATTGCTTTTAGTAAACATATACTCGAGTCGCCAAGGTAAAACAAAGTTATAAATTGTGGAAAGTGAGCAAGCAAAACTGAGAAAAATTTGTAGAGTGATTTGTATCTTTTTTCGTTTGTAAAATGGCTGAAACAACAATATGAAAGTAACGTAATAAGATTAAGAATGTGCGGGGTTGCAAGTGATGAAATTAAGAATGTGTGGGGTTGCAAATAAATTTTAGTAAATAAAGGACACAAAACCACCAATGACGTTTTTTCTTGTGTTTCTGCTAGAGCAAGGTGTTGGGGGGAGCACTCACATAAAGGGAGAGTGAGTGCAAGGAAGGCAAGGTGGAGTGATGCAAGGATAAGTGAGGTGGTTCTACATCATGTTCACGTCGAGGAGAAGTCAAAAGGTTGGAAGTTCGGTTGGAGTAACTTAAATATCGAATCAAGTTCAATTTGTTTTTGAAAATTATAGTTGTAACCATCACTATTGAATAGTATCTTGACACTATTGCCAATGCTGATCTTATTTGATAGATTTACAAGTTAAATCATAATAAATCACTACTAGGAGAATTAGTAATTTTAACTCTCTAACTCTTAGCCAAGAATAGAGCGAGAAATTATTTGTCCTGGAAACAGAAAAAAATGACCTACAGCCCGAGTCTCACGTGTATCCAATAAGATTTAAGCGAGATAATATTTAAAGCTAACGTGCATGGTGCCTAAGCAGTCTAAAACCCAAGCTCAGACATCTGTGTCTCATGTCTGAAATAGCTGCGTCCTAAATAGTCGGTGACATCTGAAAATACACCAGAATCCCTCGATGGTAAATTGTTCTCGAGCTGAAATTTCTCACCTCAAGTAATGACATGAGTGGAATACGAAACGAATCCTCTTGAACGATTCGAATCATGCGTGTCGTGCCACAATGACTGTATGTGACCGAAGGAAAGAAGATCGCTTGACAGGTTTCAGGCAGAAGGCAACAGACTACAATGCTCTCACGCTTTGAACGTGTAGGCGAGATAAGGCGATGATACTGACGATCTTTGTATCCTGTGAGAACGATTCTATGACTGAGCAAGTTGGAGATTTGAGAATAAGGAGATGAAAGGAATCATTTCATCTGAGATCTAAGATCAACCTCCCTCTTCAGTATTTGATGCTGAGATGTCTCAAAGTATTGACGTACGTCGTGGTTTGAATCAAAGACATTTCATCTCATTCACACAAGCGAGTACTACAAGTACCATTTTCGACTAATTAGCGTTTGTTCACCTTCGTTCAGAAGCTGTCCTTCATTTTATTCTAGTATTCACTGCGATTAAGTTTCGGTCCGAGTCACGGCAGAGAAGAGAATAAAACTGCAGGCAGGCAGCTGGACTTTGAAGGTCGAACTTGACTGATCTTGTTTTCTTCTGCAGAAATATCAACTGCATCTGTCTCGTAACAAGGTTGATCAAATGTCTCTCCGATTCTGTTGACTAGCACTCGATTTCAGTCAAATGAAGATGAATGAAGCGGACAGCTTCGTTATGGCTGAGAGATGTGCATACGATTTTGTAGTACATTTCGTTGGTCTGCAATTCGTAGAGTAAAGCTGAGAACCAACTAATCCAGATTCAAATGGCTGTACTTGATGAAACCCTAGTCTTAGTCGCTTCTGTCTCCTGGCAATCTAGTCTGAAATTATGCACTTCAGTGTCCATTTACTCGTGCGGTATCAAATCACTTTCATTCATAGACCGAAATTTTACCTCGCCCTACACATTCTGTAGATCCGTCAGAAGAGTTCTGGTGCAGAGCTAGAAAGGTTCTCTTTTAGGTTTTACATCAAATCATCGAAGGACGTCGGTAAGTAGGAGCTTCACCGATCTACCGGTAAGTAGGAGCTTCACCTATCTACCCTTCTGCTTCCAAAACAGCAGTTTCCATGACGCACGTTCTCATGTTGATGATCCGGATTCCCATCCATCGAAGTTGATGGAAATCCAGATAATCAACACGAGAACATGCGTCTCATACGGATTAGACGCAGATGTGTATAGCAGGCTTGCACAGATTCGAGTCAGTTTGATCGTATTCACATATTGTATCGAATCCGATACTCATCAGTACAGAGAGCCCAGCGATTTAATCGTTCTCGTACTCAAATCCGACGCAATCTACCTCCGAGCCTCTTCGCAAGAGCTCAATTACAATCTACACTTGGCTTTTCACTTCAATCTATCGAAAATCATTCTACAATTCGCAACAGGCTCAGCAACACCGAGAGCAGGCAGCATCACAGAGCGGCATTCTGAGACCGGAGCTCGAGATGGCGTCCCGACTCATCGTCGCCGTCGTCGGTCGAGAGTTTCTTGTAGCGGTAAAAGTGGGCGAACACGAGGAAGACGAGGAAGTCGACGGCCATAATGACGGCGAGCAGGAAGAAGTAGCTGCGGAGGCCACCGTCGTTGAAGCGGCCGGTGAGCCAGCCGCCGCGACCGTGGCGGCCGGTGCTGCTCTCGACGGCGTCGACGACGGCCGTGGCCAGGAAGTAGCCGAGCGAGACGGAGGCGAAGAAGAAGGCCATGCCGAGGCTGCGCGTGCCGTCGGTGGCCTCGTCGTAGAAGAACTGCAGCTGCCCGATGGCCGTGAACACCTCGACCACCGCCAGAATGGCGTACACCGGCACCAGCCAGAACACTCGCATGGGCAGCACGAAGGTGCCCACCGGCGACCGCTCCAGCCCGCGGGAGCGGATCTCCGCCAGCCGCTTCGTCTCAACCGCGGCCGCCACCAGATACGCCGCCGTGACCAGCACCATGCCGGTGCCGATCCTCTGCAGCGGCGACAGGCCCTGCGGGTTGCCGGTGGCGCGCCGGGCCAGCGGCAGCAGCAGCTTCTCGTAGAACGGGATGGAGGCCACCGTGATGAGCACGGCGAAGATGACCAGCGACACCGGCGGGATCTGGAAGTTCGGCCCCACGTGGCGGTCCATGGTCATGCCCATGGCCACCGTGACGCTGCTGATCTGGGCGTACGAGACGTACACGAGGCACATGGTCATCCAGATCGGCAGGATGCTCAGCATCCTCTTCAGCTCCTCGACCTGGGTCACCGTGCACAGCCGCCACGGCCCTGCCCGCCCGGCGCTGCCCGCCTCGCCCGCCCTCTGCACCGCCGCCTTGTCCAGAAACCTGCCCTCCATTCCATTCATACCACAACACTCTTTCAGTCTCCCTCCTCGACACCGACCGATCGACGAGTCTCCTGCTCGATCGGCCTTTGACAAACACACAAGAACCATGCTCTCATCTCATCTAACTCGATCGCTCCCTCTGCAGACTGAATCCGAGCTCCTGGATCGCTGCCATCCAGCTGGTGATCCCGTCGAGAATGAGTTGCTGCAGCTATAAATTCATGACCTTCTAACAAATTCATGACCAAATTGATGGTTGACTCATAATGTACAAGCGACAGATTCGTCTCGTGGCCAGTCTTCTGAACGATCTGGAAATCTAGTCGAGAATGAGATGCTGCAGCTAATTTTTTCATGACCTTACAAATTCATTACCAAATTCATGACCCAATTCATGGCTGACTCATAATTTAAAAGCGACAGATTCGTCTCGTGGCCAGTCTTCCGAAACGGTCTGGAGATCTCGTCGAGAATAAGTTGCTGCAGCTAAAGAGTCATGACCTTACAAATTCATGAGCAAATTCATGGCTGACTCATAATGTACAAACGAAAGATTCGTCTTGTGGCCAGTCTTCTGAACGATCTGGAGATCTCGTCGAGAATGAGTTGCTGCAGCTCAAAATACATGACCTTCTTACAAATTCATTACCAAATTCATGACCCAATTCACGGCTGACTCATAATGAACAAGCGAAAAATTTGTCTCGTGGCCAGTCTTCTGAAACGATCGTGGCACTGCGGCTGGAAGATCGCGTTCAGAATGATGTGCAGAGCGCAAATCATGCACGGGACCGACGACCGAGGGCTGCGCGGTGGACGGAAGTGCGGATCGGAGAGAGGGCCTGCGAGGCGAGGCTCACTTACGTCAAGAAGGGGCTGTGCTGGAGCTTCCTGGTGCCTTTGATGGCGGAAAGCTCGGACTTGCTTTCGAAGAGCAAGCTCTTGTCGTCGGGAACTCGGACGTTCCACTTGCGAGCGGCGGCCACGAGCACCTGGGCCATGCGAGTGAGAGCACTCCCGCTCGGAGGTTTGTAGCGGTACTTGTGCGTTCCGGCGTAGAAGGACGCCATGCCCAGAGCCATGAGGCCCAGGCCCGTCCCGTAGAGAGCTCCCATGGACGCGGACGTCGAGATATAGACCATGAGCGAGGTGGCCAGCAGGAGGCCCAACTGCACGGCCAGGAAGTAGAACACGAAGAAGCGCACTCCTTGAGCTTTCTCCACTGGCTCCGTGTCGTCGAATTGCTCGGCTCCCATGGCGCTGGTGGTCGGCCTGACGCCTCCCGAGCCCACCGCAATCACGTACAAAGCCACTACGATCGGCGTCATGATTCGGTTCCCCGCCGGTGGACACGAGGAGGTCAATGTCGGAACGCAATCCGGCGGTTTCAGGCTGTCACTTGTGGCAGCAAATGTCAACGTCGCCAGACCCTGCACAGCCCAAGGTCACTGATGATCAGATGAAAAAGCTAATTCTCTGGCATTTGGCGAAGAATTCTGCAGGGAAGCAGTTTGATTGAGCATCTTATATCACTGGACTGGACGTGCAGTGTTGAAATAAAGCAGCTGCTGCAAAAATCCGAACTCATTGCCCACTCGAGCAGCATCGCAGAGTGCGGCTGAACTTGTACATACGACGAGAAATGTGTTCACGGTTTGACGGAGCTGAGCTGAGGAGTCAGAAGTGAAGAGGAATGGAATGTACCGCCAGATAGATTAGCAGAGATGAAGCGATTGTCCAGTACTTTCCTAGGTAGGCATCAGCGACGAATCCCCAGAACACGGAGAAGAGGTTAGCAGCTCCGAGGAAGTGATTGGCGTAATTGGAAGCTTTGGCTACGGACTGATGCAGCTCAATAGTCATGAAGGTCACCAGATTCAGGCCGATGGAGGTCAAGACCACCGTATCAGTCAAGTTCAAAACTGCAAGCAGAAACACGCACACACTTCAGCTGCTTTGTGAGATACAGACCCATACATTCCCATGAGATCCTCCGGACCTCCTGACCACACACTCGAGTGGTGACTCGAACGTGCTCACTCACTCACACACTGGAGATGGAAATGGACAACACAGAAGCAGAAGCTTAAAGGGAAGAGATAGAAAGTATGACCATTGAGAAACCACGCCGCTTTCCAAGTCCCAGTCTTCCGTTTGTCTGCGACCCTCCCTCTCCAATCTACCATCAGCTCTCTTGATTCTAGATGCATCTCAGATCCATCCCGATGGCCAGCTACGGGACCCAGAAAATTGATCTTCTGATTCTGCTCGAATAAGCCGTTGGACTCCGGATCCACGTGCCGTCCGAAGCCATTTCCATCACTGTTTGCCTCTTTCATGCCTGGAACCGGTGTCTGCAGAAAGCACGAGCAAAGCAGTGAATCAGTTAAAACGATCGTCAATTCCACTCAAAAATATGAAGATGGCACGAAGCCAGCTTCTGAAACAAGAATCCAACAGACATCCATCTACTCCCAGCATGCATGCATGCATGTGACTGTTACTCGTAATCACAGTCGAGATAGCTAGGTAACGATTTGGTTTCCCTTGGACTGGGACAAGACTCTCCGAGAAAGTTTGCTATTTTCCACTCCTTCGAAGGATATCATGCGACCACCATTTTATCTATTTGCATTCACTATCATCTTGCAACTTGAATCTGCTACTGAAATGCTAGAGGCTGTCGTGAAGCATCACGACAGCCTCGTGATGCTTCAGTGCACAAAGTTTCCTGCAAATCGTTCGACGATTTCTACTGTACATTGTATCTGGAGCTCGTCATTGATTACTTCAAGCTTAGGATCGATAAATTTTTCTAGGATATCTGGGCAAACAACGTTTGACAATCGTGAGGCTTCAGACTTGACCTGGGACCCGCAATTGATCGATATAAAGATGTCGAAGGTGGGTTAGGCTAGAAGACTAGAAGACATGGGCACTCACCATGCTTGCCTGCTCGTAGATCAGCTTCTGCTGTCTTATTGCATGAATGTCCCGTGCATGAGCAAAGGGCTCTTTCTCTATGTCTCTGTCCAGAACTCTGATTTACTGATTCTCACGCATGGATGGTTGTTGGATACGAAGATGAATTTATTCCAGAGCCCTATCTATAGGGATCGAAATGCCCCATAAAAGACCGGGTTGTTTCTGATCATATCCACGAATCTCTCCAGATGAATGAAAGACAATTGCTCTCCCAGGCAGTTGCTGGCTAGTTTCAGAAGTTGAATGAGTGAGTCAGATGGTCTGAAAACAAGCTCGACTGTCAGCAGATAATGAACTACTTGTGCTCTGATGCTAGACCGTGCTTCTCCCAAATGACCACAGCGGTGACATACTTATACCACCTCTTTGATATGGAAACTAATCAGCTTAGATATGGCAGCAGAATGCCCGCAGGTGCTTGATGCTCGGCGAGCAGTGCACGATAATTTTGTCGAGCTGTCAGAAGATTGCCCGACATTAAGATATAATATTCTTGTCTTCCTTCACCCCATGCACACCTCAGCGCCCAATGTTCTGAGCCGACTGGACGCGCTTCTTCCACCGTCAGCAGTCGGCTGATGCAAGAAGCAGTAGACGGCGGGGAGAGGAGAGGAATCATTTCAGCCAAAGACTACTGCACTCCACTTCCATATCTTTCTTAGAACTGGCTTCAACCCCATGAATCGACAGTGGACAAACTATATTGGATCTGCTGCAAAGGAAGTTTTCCCAAAAATAGCATTTGAATCTGAGTTCGTCGGTACTCGCTATACAGATGCGTTCATGAATGTGATACAGCTGATTATATTATTTTGATGTTGACAGTGAGTTTCTCCACAGTTTCTCTCTCCTCTTTCTCGTTGTATTTTGACTATTGACGCCGTCGGAGACAGCGAGGACTGTAGACCGTACTTACATTCTACTTCACGCGAGCGTACGATGCAGATGCCGACTGATTGCTCGCCACTGCACAGCAAAGAACAGGACGCTAGTAGCAGTGTTTAGTCTTCGTTAGTTGCCGGTGTCAGAGATTCGGCCAAATTGGTGTTGCGAGTTACGATTGTTGTTGGAGCTTTCCTATGATGGAGTGACGAAAATTGGAATCTATATTTCATAAGTGACTGAGTCTGAGGAATGTGTCCTCACGTAGTTATTTGATATCGAGCTGACTAGCTAGCTCATAGGAGAAGATTCAGCGAACAGGTAAACACTGTCGACAGTGCAGTGCAGTTTAGCAAACTGCTCAGAAGTAGCTTCGACTGTGGCAAGAAGCTAAGACGCTGCCATTGACTTACGTCCTGTCTGAGCGTCACGGTGTTTGCTTGATATATCCAATTCTTTGATTGGAGCACTCATTAGCGTTTTAGTATGAAGACACCGTCACTATGGGCCCAGGGAGGTTTAGCCTTAGCACCAGCAGACTTGCACAAGCAGCATACATAAAGTTAAACTGAGTAATTTCTGAAGGACTGGAGTTCTCTAAATTTTGAGCACGTACACATTACGGTTGTGGTTGTCCTAAGAGGAACAAATAACGGAGTCGGAGCGCAGGAGGGCAGGCTAGCTCATATACACGCTAGCCACATGTGCAGTTAAGGGAATTGGCAGTGTAAAAAATTTGGCCTTCTGTTCGGGCAAGTCCTGATTCCGACCATTCGCATGAGGTCTCGAAGGAGACCTGGAGAAGGAGAGCGTCGAGCACCCTCTCTCCGGCCGGTCGTCTGTCGACTCCTTGTCCTGATTAAAAACAGATATTCCAGCAGGCTGCAAGACGTCTTCGTGTGAACCATGCACTAGAAGCCATATTCTTCGTGTGAACCAAGTTCGTGTCGCACCTCGGAATCTTGTAAGGACAATTATAGTCCGCTGACGATGTGGTTATCTTACATACGGTATAAGTCTGTATTCAATTTCATCCAAGTTTTGGAGTAGTCTCCTCTCGAATACGTACAAGGTCCTTCTTAGAGGAGCTGACGTACTCTAGAAGCTTCAAACGTCCTGTTTAACGTGTTATCTTATGATTCATGTGCATTAGAGATCATGCATCTCACTCTCAACTTTGTAGGCACAAGTTTTCCTGCTTTCTCTCATCGTGTATTAAGTGGCAGGAATTGTTGATGGATTGATTAATCTTTCTCTACAGACGCGTCCTTATTCCTCAAGTTGCTCCTCGGGTGTTTGTCCTCCGATAGTCTATGAAGAAGTGGAAGAGTACATGGATTAAATGAGAAAGTTATCACCTCGTGAAAGACATCGTTTGTTCGGAGTTGATGATGTCATTAGTTTACACCAAACCTGATATCGTGCTTGGAAAAGGATTTAACTTCACCGGACACTAAATCTTTTGGCACCTGGATCTAATGCTCTCATGGGAGACAACACACCTCAGCCATGACTGCTGCTCTTGCTGCTTAATTCTTTTGTTCTCCTTGCTTTCGCTTCCCTAATTAAGGTTAGTATATTGCACACAGTCACACGCAATCTCTCTCTCTCTCTCTCTCTCTAGTACTTAATGCCACGAGCCTCGAAATGTTAAAAACAGTATTGCAGTTAAATAGAGTAACCGAACCTTTCGTGGGCAGTTCTGCAAAGAAGATGGGATCAACTTTTTATCAAAGCTGAAATGAAACCCATGTATACTTTTTTGCGCACAATGTTGTTCAGTATTGATGACTTGCATTTGAGTGATGTGCATATGTTTCTTGGCTAGATGACAATTGAGTAGGATATGCACCTACACATTAAGAACCTTAAGTGCATCGATCGTTGCTCATTTTCGACCTGAGACTTTCTCTTTTTTAGATGTAAATCGAATCCTGAACCATTCGAAGACATGGTGCGTGTTGAAGATACGATCCGAGTTTTGCTGAGCACAGTATTTTCAATCAGTCTCCATCTGAATCTGACTACAGTACGAACGATTTTATAGAACAGCAAACGGTTGGCAGGCAGAGGACTATAAGGTTTGTCAATGACAAAACACTCTCGAGTCAGACTCCACTTCGTGGATTCTCGCGAGAGGGAACAAATCGAGACTGAGACTCAAAGAAAAGTCTACAGAAGAAAAGTCTGCAGAAGAATTTGGTCATCCAAGGTGAGGAAAACATTCCACTTCGTTGATGACTTGATTGTAACCTTGGTGGCTACGTTAGTCCCATGATCCAAACTGACGTTTAGCACGACTTGTGACATTAACAGTCTGAAAAGAATCAACATCGGCCATCCAATTCCGCTTCTTTTGAAGGCACGATATTACAGGCTCGAGGTCAGACCCGTACTGTACTTATTGGGCTCCAACCCAATACTTTGCTGACTGGCTTCAGTATTTTCTATTTCTCAAATCTATAATAACACGTGGCAAAGCCTGCAACCACAAACTGTAGTGATTGAAAAAGAGCAAAGAAAGCAAGGGGAGAGAGAGCACTTTTCGAAGTCATCGCATTTGCTTTTGACAAAATTGGCTGAGGAAAAAACAAACTGAAGAATTTCATCAGTAGAGAGGAGACATAAGATCTATGAGGAATGTAATCTTATCTTCTCTGCTGTATGTACAATTACATATTATTCAAAAGCCCGTGTAGAAAAACAAACCAAAGTAAATAATTTGGAAATTTCTGGTTGTGTAACTCACCTGCGAAAATCTTTCGCCTGTATTATGTTTCACGACCTCAAGGAATATTTCTAGTTGAAAAATCCATAATGAACCAGTTTTCTGAGCGAGGTCTAGAGGACCTCATATGGACATCAATTACATCAAGTCGTGTCCTTTGCAGTTTCTATTATCTATCCATATTCTGCCGAGTCTCGACGCAGTTGGCTAAAAGTCATTTAAATAGAACTCCAAAATTAAGCTTAACGTCTGCGTCCAGTTTCACGCAATCTTCTGCTCACGCACTGAACTCAGGAGCGCTACACAAGGCACAGTGAGAACATTATGGCTTTCTCTATTGGTAAGAGCCAAACGTACGTCGTCTCCATGGAAAATATGTATCCGAGTTCACGAGTCCTTGGCTGGATCATCGCTCATCTGGTCTACAATGCAGTAGAATCGTTCTCGAGAGAAACGCCATGCGAGATGTCATCCGCTCCTCGTGTCAGTGTGACTACGTACGTCTCCCCACAACACCGTCAACCGTCTGACACAGCCAATAATACTCCACCGTCACGTCACTTTGAAGTTTTCAAGACATAGATTCGAGTCGGTGAATCATTACCTGGTGATGGGGACTTATATTCTGGTATTCTCGACTCGATGTTCTGAATCGTATGCAGTAGCTATGATGATACGAGAATTACTTCAAATCATAAAGTTGACAAATTTTCCACATCATACACTCCTCGAGGCATTCCCTTCATGCAGCGAGAACTCCTGTTCAGCTTGGAGATTGTGAGACTTCCGCTTGCTAGTTTCATTTTTCGTACTCAACTTCGATCCTTGATCACTGAGATCTGATGTCAGATCTGATGTCGAATCTGATTTCTCTCAGATCTTCTTTCATGAGAGGCAATTGTGGGAAGAAAGGGCTCGGCACACAAATCTCAAGATGAAGAATCACAAGAAGATCATCATGCTGGCCTACAGTTTTCATCCTAAGAATCATTTGACATTACATTCTTAGCTCCGTTGAGCTGAAGAGGCCCATATTCTATCCCTTTTATGTTTCATTTAAAATTCAGGGTCCAAATTGTGCAGCAGAATATCAGAGTATCCTACATGTCAAAACAGCCGACTGCCTGACCCATACAATCAATAGAATCCGATGACTGGGTTTTGAACCGTAATCGAGGCTTTTCTTTTGATTGACTTACCTCAGGATTCTCTGACTCTACTCATCCCTCTTGAGTTGTTTTCAGACCACTTCCAAACGGAAGAATGAATCTTAGACTGAACAGACAAGAGTAAAGGAACTTGAATCATGTATCAAGAAGTCGAGTTCTTATATACAACCTCGCAACTTTTGGTATTGAAGGAGTTTGGAATTACATTGAAACGTTGAATGAAGTGTTCAACGTTTCACTTCATTGTCACTAAAAACGTTTCATGTTTACATTTAAAAGACATCTTAAAACAACTCAAGAGGGTCTAGTAGAGTATAGATTTATTTGTTCCGCAGTACAAAAAAACAAAAAGATCTTCGCTTTGTTTACGAGGACAATGCATATAGAGAAGGCTCAACCGTGAGAGTGTTGTTATTTCACAATATGGCGTTTGAACTAAATTTTGCGCTTTTGATTATATGTTCTCCTTCTAGTAGTATTCACGGTGTAACGAAGATGAGTGACATGGAATGCCCTTCTGTCCTGTGCATCACTTGCTGTTGTAGGATCAGATCTAGTGAGTCTCGTTTTCGTCTACCC